ATTTCAATTTTTTGACTGTTGTTTCTCTCTTTCTCCCCCTCTCTCTTTCCCTCCCTTCTTCTCTCTCTATATATTAGTGTAAATCTACATGTTAGCTTTTCAGTTTCCTTCTGGCGTGAATAGCTTGCCGAGAATTCAAGCACCGTTGGCAGCGCGCGATCGTGAAAAATCCTTCGTTGCTTATTTCGGTGCTGGTATGAGCGGATCTGGTACAGTGAATCGACCAGGAAGAGCGCAAGATACTAATCAAGTCTATCTTTTATATATGATTGAGGTTTTTCAGGATTTGTAGTTTTGAAAATAACTTGCTGAGTATATTTTTGTTCTTTTCCGAGGTTGTTTTCCGACTGATTTTTTTTTTTATCATTAGCAGAACCTTTCGTATTTTGAATTATTCAGTTTGTCGAAAGATTTCGTGTCAGTTTTGACATAAAATAGCCTTTTTTATTTGGATAATGTTCTAAAAATTTTTAGGTGCAAGTAAATGTTAATCCAAATCCAGCAGCAGCAAGCAATGGTTTGCATTCTGATGGTGATGCCCCTGAAATCCGCAAATACAAAAAAAAGTTTAGCGGTGATGTACGTTGTTTAAGAAAAACCTTCAGATCATTCTATTCCAGAGAATTATATTAGAATATAATTTGATGATACCGTTAGCAAAGATGGTACCAATATAATGATATGAATCTTTTGAGTAAAGTCGCATATGAAAAATTTTTTCCGTTTTAGATTCTGTGTGCAGCACTTTGGGGAGTGAATTTATTGATAGGGACTGATTCAGGTCTTATGTTACTTGATCGGAGTGGTCAAGGCAAAGGTAATTATGTTATATACATAAATCTTATCAGAAATGTGATGTTGCATGTTTTCTCCAAATCAGAATTTGTAATTTACACAAAATTTGATCGAAAATAAATATTATGGAGTGTTGTCAATATATCTCATTGCACTTTTGCTAGATTATTTCTTATATCAATATCTCATTACTTAATTGCGATAATTTGATGAAGGGACGTAGACATAGAATTGCTGAAATTGGATTGCTTGCTTCCATGTGATAACAGTGATAAGCATCCATATTTATTTCATTTGTAGTGTATCAGTTGATAACACGTCGACGCTTTGAGCAAATGACGGTGCTTGAAGGTCAAAATATACTCGTAACGATAAGTGGACGAAAGCGGCGAATACGTGTATATTATTTATCATGGCTCAAACAAAAAATTCTTCGAACTGAAGGTGTAAGTGGTGTTGAGGTAAGTATGTAAAACAATTCTGAGAGAATGAGTTATGATTCTGGTTCTTTTGCAGAAGATGAGGTAGAACTTTCTTCTATGAAGTCGATACTTCTCCACAAACCCTTATATTTCAAAATTTAAAAACACAGAGAAACCGTCAATCCATCATAAGTTGTGGTTGTGATAGTGAACCTAACAATCGGTATCATATACATATGCATTATAACTATGGAATTATCCTAACTAATGTTCTTAGCAGTGTTTAAGTGATTGGATCAACGACCTCTTCTGAAAGTCAGTATGACTGTTAGCGATGCTCCCTTTAATTGCAATCTTGACGAAAAATCACTTTAAAAACTTCAGTTAGAAAAAAGAAATGGCTGGGTGAATGTTGGTGATCTGCAAGGTGCCGTACATTTTAAAATTGTCCGTTATGAAAGGATCAAATTTCTCGTGGTGGGTTTGGAAAGTACGGTTGAGATTTACGCGTGGGCCCCGAAGCCTTACCACAAATTCATGGCATTTAAGGTTTATTTTCTTGTGTTCTTTTATATTCATTATATTTTTAAGATTTTCTTTGATGTGGAGCCCAATTTAGCAAATGGAGCTACTGTATCAATTAATTCACTTTAAAAGTAAATAGAGTTCAAGCTTCACTTCAGACTTCACATTTCCATAACTTCATATGCATATGTATACATATTACTTACCACAGAATCATCCGACGTTCTTAGTAATGATTAAATAGTTGCATTATGAAGTGTTATGAAAGTCTAGAAAAAAAAAAAAAAAAATATGAGCTGTTTTATTGCTTTCTTTTAATCTTTCTTTGAAAATCTTTTCTGATGGTGATTGTGAGGTCAATTTTTTGTTTCTAGGCATTCAGCCAACTTACTCATTTACCGCTTATTGTTGATTTGACAGTGGAGAAAAATTCCCGTTTAAAGGTACTTTATGGTTCTCGTGAAGGATTTCATGCCATCGATTTGGATTCCGGTTCTATTGACGACATTTATACACCTGCTAATGTATGTTGTTATAGCTCATACTGATTCCTGCTGGAACTGCAGAGGATAGTTTTAATAAGATTATTGTATTGCTGTATAAAGGCTGCTCTCAGCACTCATAATTTTTTAATTTTTACTTAATATTTTGACTGATTTTGATCATTTTTTGTTACTGCAAATACATTGGCATAGTATTTGGTAATTAATCCCCAAGCATCTTATTTATGACTATCGGACAACAAATTGTAAATTCACTTCATAACTGATGGAATACTGATTTTGAGGAAAAAAAATATCAGCTTAACCAAAGGTGTTTTGTTCTTTGCTGTGAAATGAAATAAACCGAGAATAAGCAGATACTTTAAGCGGGATACTGTAATATTGATAGTTTCGAAATAATTTGCTTCTTAGAACGATGTTTATTCCTCATTTTTAGACGGAAACCGTAGTTACACCGCACTGCATAGTGATAATGCCGAACAGTAACGGGATGCAGCTGCTGCTCTGCTACAATAACGAGGGCGTCTATGTTAGCACATATGGTAAAGCAACAAAGAGCGTCTTTCTGCAATGGGGAGAAACTCCCTCTTCTGTAGGTGAGTTGAGTTAAATTTAAAAACTACATTTCTTTATTCACAGTAAAGTTCTGACCAATTTTGAGTAGAATTGAGTATATAGAAGTTTTTTGATGCAAACTGTTAATCTAAAGCAAATTCATCAGTTGAAATATACATACATTAACGTTACACTCGTAACTCGTCCGTAAATTCTATTATCATTTCAAATCATTTACTCAACGAACAACTTATTGCATCTGTCGTAATCACAGGTTAATCGCAATTGATGTTTGATCCTTAGAATTTTTTTAAAGTCAGCTGTTTATTCTTTTCAGCTTATATTTCAACGGGTCAGATAATGGGATGGGGCAATAAAGCAATAGAAATCAGATCTGTTGATACTGGCCATTTGGATGGTGTTTTCATGCATAAAAAAGCGCAGAAATTGAAGTTTTTATGTGAACGCAATGATAAAGTAAGCATTTGTTCTTTATACTTTAAAGTGCCAGTTATTGAAAATGCTAGTACTGGCTGCTTATCTTTTAATTTTTGCTCCGTAATTTGAGTTTGCAAGTCTTAGCCTTTCTGCTGATATTAATGACGCATAGGTACTTTTGTTTACTGCGTTGCACATATCTGACGTCTTGGCCCCCATCGTATTCTGGTTGTATCTCAACTCTAAGTGATATATTCCATTATGAAAGTACATTAAGTTTCTGTCTATACTCGTAGACCGTCCACTTTATTCAGGTTTTCTTTTCGAGTGCAAAAGGAGGTGGAGCATGCCAGATCTACTTTATGACGTTGAATAAACCCGGGTTATCAAATTGGTAAATGTTTGGAGGTTAACAAGTTTGCTGCAGCTCTTATTTAAGAAGTTTTTAGAATAAGCAAGTTTTTTTTTTTTTTTTCTTAAAATTTATTTTTGAAATGCCTTGTGTATTTGTTGCTGTTATTTTGTTTTATGTTTTATCTACATTATAATTGATATCATCATCAGTTCTAACTTTTGCATTGTGGACGGACGAGAAGTGGGAGAAGAATCTGGAAGGTAGTGGATTTTTCTAGCAAAAGTGAGATTCTTAAGGAATTTTCAATTTGTTGAAAGATGATATATATTATGAGAGCAGAGCTCTGTATTTTAGTGCTTTATGATGAAAATTATAAGATATAGGAAAGTTTTTTTTTTGTATTCGAAAAGATTTATAGTATATTTGATAGAGTTGTTGCTGCAAAAGTGAAACTGAAGCACTTTCTCACTTTAATAAAATGCAGACGTATGGTGAGTGATTTCTGCCTTATCTGACAAAATTTAATTGATGTATGTATTGATGACAGATATGCATTTATTCTCCTTTTCTCTTTAATGCTTCTTTACTTATGTATATCTTAATTGGAATCTTAAGGAAGCAATCTTTTATTTTTGAGACCTTTTTGGCAATGAAAGTTACTTTGTCGAATTTTTTCAATTGAAGTTCTCATAACTTTTAACCAGTAAAATAACTTTTCAGCGTTTGTTTTTCAAGCTTTTTGCTCAACAGGTACTTGGGTAAGTATCAAGATGTTGTCTTTCTTCTGCTGTCTGTCGGTTCCTCCCCTGTAAACATTTTTTGAGACTCATAATCTGCAGTTGAACTGGACCTTCTTTATTATGAAATTTCGGATTTACATTTATTCCTGTGTTTCAGCAATCAGTTTATCAAGAACCATTTCCTTTGATAAATATCATATGTCCTCCTAGTTGTATTGACACCTACTGTGAACCTACAACTTACAGAACAGTTAAATTGTATTTCAATTTTATGGAACAGAATGTAGGTTTTCTTTCAGTCCTTGTATATCTCTGACTGAAAGTTGAGTTCACTATAAATATAAGTAAACTACTGAAAACTGAGTAGGTTAACTTTGGTTTTTATTGTTTTGTTTCTGAATTCAGTTTTCCATAATGCTGCTTAATTTGCTAATTCACTGTTTTGTTCATTTTCAAGAATTTTATTTGTCTTTTAATATGCTTCAGAATTGATGGTGTGCTATAATGTTATAGTGATTGGTTTGATCCATGGTTATTAGGTTTATACTGTACGATGTGTTGTTTTTATTATTTGTGTACCAGTATAAACATTATCATTTCGAATGAAAACAGTTTATTCTATTAAATGAATAAAAAATTCCATATTTAAGAAATAAAATGCTTCCAAATGGCAGTATCGGTCATTGTTCTTCATACAATCGTAAGAGCCGGCTTAATGACGACTGATGTTGGTGGTTAGCCCAAATCCATCATTCCCTCTTCCTGTCTATATCCTCTCTTCTTTCCTCATAAGTTACTGTTTTCAAAGAAACATGACAGTCAGTTTAATAAATGATGGGACTAGGTTCATTCTTTGCCTTTGATTGGTGAAAAAGTTTATACCCATCATAAACCTCTGATTGGATTTGATTTATTGTAATAAATGGTGGGAGGTTAAATTGTAGTTAAGAGAGGTTAAAAGTATTCTGTGAAGTCCAGAAAACAATCTGTCAATTCAAGTTATTTTCCTGTAATTCTAAATACATTGTTAACAAACCAGAACTGTTTCATTAATAGAATATGCAGCCGATGTCAAGATTTCTGATGAAATATTCTAGAAAAGCGCAAAACATATGTGTACGGCAATGCTAGCTGTAACTGCAGCAGCTGTTATCGCAACCTTCGCTTATTGCTATTATAAGGGAGGCAAGTGGCCATTCGAGAAAGTCTCTCGCAGTGCACCTGATCATGTAAATATATCTTTGAAATAACTGTTTCCAAATGACGATAAACATTTTAGTTTAAAAAGTTGAAATAATGAGTAATTTTCAAATTTTGATGAAGAAACTGATCGGAAAAAGCTACTATATTTTCCTTTTCTCGCTTTATTGTGTAAAGAAATTGATCAGAATTAAAAAATTTTAAATTAAGTAAAAAAAAGGTAAATGAAGAAGTATAACATAAACTGTTACACTTGTATTTGTGGGTTAGATTTCTCGAAACATAAGTGACGTAGTTTCAGGAATAGAAAATCCTTCCAGAAATTTGGATAGCATTTCAGAACTGACAATGTTTGTACACTGAAAATCGGATTATCATTTAAAAACAATTTGTGCTGTGCCCGTTCTCAACTGTAACTTCAATTATCGATCGATAAATTCATATCTTTAAACAGTCCTTTCCTAATGCATATTCAGCTTACATAACTTAAGCTTCATCAAATGTATCTTCGAAAAATGGAAAACCTAAAAAATTGTAGTTGGAATCATTATGTACAATAAAAAATTATGCATTATTAGAAAGAGGCAACGAATAATCACAGAAAGAATAAATTTTTCATGGCGATTCCAGTTGTTTAAGCATGCTCATTATTTGAAATTTATAGCAATTACTTGTAAGCCCTATCAAAGGTTAAAGTTGCCGTTCATCAGCTTGTCCTTTTTTTTATTTATGGTGTCGAAAAACTTACTATCCAGTATTTAAATCTCGAAACAAAAGTATAATTCCATGGAATAATCGACCCCAGTTGTAACTATAGTGTCGGTCCTAAGGTGACTGTCAATCTTTGAACTTTGCAGACAGTCTGGATTTAACATTTATTCTTGTTGTCATATGTTTGCCTATATTGAATGACAAACAAATGTGGTCAAACATTTCCCTTTGAAAAAATGACAACGAAAAACATGCATATATAGCAGTGGCATGCATCATCTGCAGGTAATACAATCTTCGCCATGAATTATTTATAATTAATTAATATTATTATTAATTAATTATTATTATAAGCTGTGTTAGTACTAGCTGTGTTAAATTTTTCACTGACATTTAAATAAATAACATTTTTACAGATTATTCGACTCTACATTTCTAATAAAGCATTATATTTCCATGTCACAAATTAAAAAATTTTTTAAATATGTTGTACAATGATATCCAGCAGGCTGCAAAATTTTCAACATAATTATTTGGAATATTTCTCCAAATATTTTTTCTTACTTTTTCCTACAAAATTTGAAAAATTTACCAGCCTTTATTAATTGTAACATTATGAGGCATTTGTAAAAAATATAAATTATAGCGAAATAAATTACAATATAAACCAAAGTTTTATAAATTGTGTCATATAAATTATGGATCCACTAATTTCTGAATATTCATTTTCATTAAATGACCTTTCTTCATATTTTAACCCATCGGACAATGTTTTTTTTCATTCCTAACTGAAAAATGATCTATGCTGTAATAAAAAAAAAAAAAAAAAACGCTACTATGAAATTATATTCTGCAACAGATCGCCAATATCTTCAATTGATCTTTAGACTCGACATTGGATACTTGATTCAATGGATCTATTTCTGAGGACAGATGAATCGCTCTATTCAAATATTTTCGTAAAATTTATTAAAATGTCGATGTCATTCTCTTTAAATTCTGTTTCTATTATGTACTTTATGGAATGTTGTGAAAGTTGTTCTTTTCTTACTTCATTCTACGGCAATGCGAAATCATTCCATGCTGCCAGTCCATTTCGGCATTGTAATTCAAAAATTTTTTCCTTCTATTTGATCGTTTTTTGAATACTTTCTGTTACGTGCCTTATTAAATTTATTTGAGCTTCTCTGACCGAATATTATTCAACTTCTGTTTTCAGGAATCCTCCGAGTGAACAGAAATTTCTGATGGTTTATATCGGAATTGTAAGTTCTCTTATTTATGTAAAAGTAACTTAAACATAATCAAAACCCTAAAAAGTTACACCTATGTCTTCTGATAATTTTCAGTTTTTTTAATGGGGAGGTTTTGAAGTTTTGATAATCAAATTTATATTTAGACTCATCTTGATTTTGTATAAAATCTTAAGTTTTTTCGGCATGTTTTAGTATGGAAATAGTTTAAAATAGCTCTTAACTTTTCGCGTTCGATTTACCATTCTATTCAAATACTCTACTTACTCAACTAATAGCAAGTTTAGAAACAATAATATTGCTAAAAGCATAATGTGTGTCGAAGAATGAAATCTTTCAAGCATATTTGAAATTACATTGAATAGATCCTACTTGGTCGAGCTCTTATAGGTCTAAAATGTTGATTTCAAGTGGTCTAAAGAAAGCAAGTTAATACGTCACTGATCATTCTAAAAATTTTTGTCGAAGCTTTTGTGGAAATATTTCTTACTAAGTCAAAAATGAAACAAAAAAAGATGATACAATACCCCGAAGACCAGCATTTGACCGTTCTTTCCCAAATCTTTGCCTGGCTTGTCTGACTTGTCCGAGGCAAAATTGTTTTAGTGATACTTGAAGACTCCACACTCGAAGGAGTTTAAGGATGAAAATACAATCAGATGACAAAAAAGATTAAAAGAGACCAATTTTCAACGAAGGTAGAGAACACGTTTGGCTAAAAAAAAGATACCATTAGTCCAGTAACTGCCGTCGGCTACTTTCTAGGCCAACAGTGACCACCAGGGACACCAAGACCCAAAGAAACAAATAAGAGCAAATGCATATGTTTACCTTTTAACGTTGATGGCCGCAATGGGTGGATTACTATTTGGTTATGATACTGGCATTGTCTCCGGGTAAGTGATAGTATCTTAGCTGGATTTTGTTCTCTTCAATTTCTTTTTTCACTTTATTGTCTTTTCCGCTTTAGTTGTGCTAAAAGTTAGATTTCATTGCAATGATTTTCAATTACACATTTGTTTTTTAGATGCAAATTGTTATCGCATCTCTTCATTAAGTCGCATAAGAATTACAATTAAGAAAAGTTTGTTTTCTTTTTTACTTTAAAATAAGCAGAACTAATTTTCAGCATAATGCTATACTTGCCTCATAATAAATATATGGATGGTTTATCAACTGTTTGGCAGGAAATTATAATCAGTATAACATCCGGAATGGCAGGTATTGCTGCTCTAACCGCAGGTTATTGAAGTTCCTTTTGAATTTTAGTTTTTAAGCCATTCTAATATTTTACCTTCAAAAATATTTCGAAGGAGAAAATGCATCATCACGATTAATCGATAAAGATGTTAGCACTTTTGATGAGTATCCTATTTGGTATGTTATCCTCTATTTAGTATTCTTTTTTGGCAAAGATTCGAAAGTTTCTTTACATTCCAGCCATTTGTCTTTGGACTTCTTCTCCCAGTCCACCACATTGCTAGCAGATGCAATCTTATGGGAAGCAAATTGTATTTGCTGTAAAAATTATTTGGAATCAGTTTTTTGAAGTAGTTTAAAATTCACCTAAATTTTATGAAATAACAAACCTGTAAAAGTTACTTAAAATTATCAAACATAGGAAAAAGCAGCGATAAATTCGGTCGTCGAAAAGTGATCATATCGGCCACTGTGTTCTTTATCGCTGGCGCTATTATTTGCGGTGTTGCTTTCGGTCGGTGGACATTGCTTATTGGACGCATATTGTTGGGGATTGCCATTGGTATCAGTTGAATATTTTATGTCTCATATTAATTTACAGGAAATTTTGATAATAATGTTATTTGTAATAAAGGATCTAATACTTTTAACAATTAAAATTAGAAGTAATGGAATTAAAGATGAAGTTCTCCTATTAACAGGAAAATGCTAAGATACCGAAGTAAACCAATGTGAATCACTTGCAATTACTTTACTGTTATACAGAATTACAGGATTTGCGTCCATGGTTGTACCCGTATACATAAGCGAAGCGGCCCCCGCGAGAATACGGGGGAAATTGGTAACAATTTATCAGTTCATGGTGGCATTTGGATTTACGGTCGCCAATGCTGTGGCGGCGTGGTTCGCTCATTATGATCCAGTGAATATTGGTTGGCGCTTGATGTTCGCATTTGCTGCTGTGCCGGCTTTAGTTCAGGTACTATAATCTTTACTTTCTTTCAAAGATTTCGACTTGTTTAAAATTGTAATTTCGTAAAACAAATTGACTTTACTATGTAAAAAGTTTCTATAACGTTAACATCACTGTAAAAGGAGTTTCTATGACTTCACATAGGTTCATAATTCTCATTTTTCAGAAATTGAAAAACTTTCGGGAAAAATTATTTGAAGGAATGGCTTTTAAAAATTCAGATGTAAATTCGAAATTGAAGCAACACCGAAAAATGTATTTTCAATATATCCCTTTCACTGTGGAACTAACGAAATCAATTTAGCTAGTCGGCTTCCTTTTCCTACCAGAAACACCACGTTACCTAATCAATCACGGGCGTGAAAAAGAAGCACAAGAGGTTTTGCACCGGTTATATGATAACGATAAGGAATGGATTGCTTATGAGATGGGTGAAGTAGCGCGTGAAATGAGACGTGAGGCAATACTTCGTCAAGAAAGCGGTAGGTTAACTTAAATAAATAAAAAAGACCTAAATAAATTAATTAAGATTTTCATGCCAACATCATACCACATTTCTTTTCACAATATATCATTAGTTAGCATTTCTTCTATGTAACTTAATCTTGTTTCGAACTTTAGATGGAAATTGAGTAAAATATGTTACATTTGCTTAGTATGAGCTCATATTTCCCTTCAGCATTTCCTCTCATCGTTACAAAGTACATTTATTAATACTCCTTAAGTATCAGGAACTGTGTGAAATAGTTTGCATACAAATTTGAATGGATATGAAAATGATATGTTATTGATAGGAGATGAATTCGTCCTTCGCAGAGTGTTGAGAACGGCGCATGTACGAAAAGCTCTGGCACTCGGCTGTGCTTTGCAGATGTTTCAGCAGCTTGCTGGAATAAATACTATTTTGTAATCCTTTTCTTTCAAAGTTATAACTTTTAGAAATTTGATAATTATTTTCTCAAACTAGTTTATTGTTTTAGTGCTGTATGCATGGAAAAACAAACCTTTTAAAATTAACGATATTACTACCTCTGTTTCTTGTTTCGTTTTGTTTTGCTTTTTTTTCTTTTTCTTTTTTTAGATGTTTATAAGGAATAGTGCATCCATGCTTATCGATCTTTCTTATGAGAATATGAATGTTATCCTATCATTTTGATTTAAGTAACCTCTTTCGAAAATTTTTGAAGTATGAAATGAACTTGAGTTTATAAAGACTAAATGGAAAATTATTTATCAATTTAAGATATTATACCAGCAGCATTATTCGTTCTGCTGGCGTACACGATAAAATTACAACAATTTGGATTTCATGTGGTATTTCAAGTAAATACTTTTTTTGTTTCAAGTAGTTTTTTAACTGACCAATCTCTGTTGACCTTGTTTTAGCACGCAAGACTCTAATAATTACTAGGATCTATAAACTACATATTTTTTTTGCAATTTTCTTTTAAAAATTTTGTAGCTGTGCAAGCGGTAGGGACAATACTACCACTGAACTTGATCGAAAGACTTGGGAGGCGTACTCTTGTGTTGTCGTCTCTAATCGGTGTTGTTATTACATTGTGTATGATGGGTGGTGCGTTCATTCTTATCAATTATGATTCCTCAAAAATTAATCCTGGTAAGTGATAACTGCTGATGATGGTCAGGAATTGTCGGCATCGGTAATTAAGTTGCTACAATTATTATATGTAAATGTGTAATAGATAATTTGCGTTAGTGTTGTTAGCACAAGGCAAGCTTTTCAGGAAAATTCTTTAAAAGAATGAAGTAAGAAAACTTGGTATTGAATCATGAAATACTTTCCTAAAAGTGTTGCTATCTCGACAAGATTTAGTTATGAAATACTCTCTTTTACAAGAACCGATCCTTTTTTAAGCGCAGGCTTATATTGGTATAGATATGAATTCTACCAACACGAACAAGGAATTACTAGACTTATGCTTCGGATTCAGGTGAATCAAAAGATTTACTAATTTTTCAACTAGACATGAAAAGCAATAATTTTGTCAAAATAGCCTTCTACATACTCGAAAAAACAATGCAGTTTTTCGAATAATAAAGATTTTAATTCTGATGTGCACTTCATGTTCAGAATTGATATTATTTTAGTGAACTTTTTATCAATCTGATCATTTGAAAATAACAGGTGAAATATGCAGCATCCGAGATTTCGAAATTTGTTCGATGTTACAGGAATTGCGATGAATGTGTAACATCAGAATATTGTGGATATTGTAGTCTGAAGGAAGAATCTTCATCATTACCAACAACTTTTGGGCAGTGCCTACCTGTTAATTCAGAAAATATTCAACACTCACTTTATGGATACTGTAAGGTACGTCTTCAATAGACGTATCTTATACTTAAGATCAGTTGATCGCTGCACAAACCTAAATCAAAAAAAAAAAACCAGTTTAGGATAAAATGATAATTAGTGACTCCTTTTCTAGAATGATTAATAAATGAGATTTTAATTTGTGGGATCGATTAAAATTTATATATCTTGTTAGCTGTACCTTATGATAAGGGATCTCCAGGAAAATTATTGCTGAACATGATGGGACATATTCCGAAAAGCCTTTAGAGGAACTAAAGACAACCTAGAACGGAACTGTTTGAGCTGTTGATAGCTCATTGGTAATAGATTAATTGAAATGCACTATCACCAGAAACACTGACCCATCAAAAAATCGTTACAAATTTGTTCGGAATAATTGCAATTATTTCATGTTCACTTTATTTTCTACTTCATTTTGAATTTAATGCTATTTTTCAGGATAGCATGAACAATGCGACTGCTTATTCATTTACTGATACATCTTGTAAAACCCGATTTACAGCATTACCAATAGTAATTATGATACTCTACATTTCTGTTTATTCCCTTGGTAAGTTTCTATAGTTCAAAACAAGTTACTGAAAGACTATTAAAAAATTTTCTTAATTATCCCCCAAAGTCATCAGTATTTCAGGTATGGGTCCAATCCCATGGGTTTTCAATGCCGAGGTTTATCCGATTTGGGCGAGAGGCACATGTGTTGCTTTATCTACATTTACAAATTGGACCTTCAATCTTTTGATGTCGTTAACATACCTCAGCTTAAGTCAAGCTATCACCAAACATGGTTCTGGCGATCTTCGCACTTTTTTCAAAACTTTTTTTTTCAAATGAAACTGGTGATTTATACATTACTTAACAAAAAGGAAAGGATTAAGAACAAAAATAATAACGTGGCTCTACTGCATGAGACTATTGTAAGAATAGAAGTTAAGAGTATTCAAGAAAGGGCAGAAAACTGAAAAGTTCAAGACGCTTTGATGTCATAATTTTAGGTGCGTTCTTCTTATATGCTGGTATTTCATTCATTGGCTTCATCATATTTTATTTCTTTGCGCCGGAAACACGTGGAAGACGTATTGAAGAGATTGAACGATTATTCATGAGTGAAAAAGAAATAACACCTGAAAGAAATCAACGACACGAAAAAACCGTGTCTGCTTCTGTTATCTAATCTTTTTTCTGTAATGTGAACTATATTGTGCTATGAAATAAGTGGATTTTGTGGTTACTGCTACCAAAGTAATAGATTTGTGATTAGTGGCATAAAAAAGAAACTGAGATCAAATAAATTTTCAACATTCATTCAGAGGTTAAATGAATAGGGCAACAATGTGACTTGCTATAGAAATAATTCAATAAAGCAATAGAGATACCATGTACTGTTGAAAAGCATTTACTAATACATTTTGTCAAAACAATTTTACAAATTGTTTACAAAATAAGAAACAAAAATTATGAAGAATATGAAGGGAAACAAGTCTGGGTAAGCAACTCTTTAGAAATAATATTAAGGGCTACCGTATTGATAGGTCGGGAAAACAAATTTTGTTAATTCAGTCTTTTCAAAATTAGTAAAAAACATAGCAATCATATAATCAAACTATAAAAAAAAAAACAATATTTTGAATATTGAAAATCGATTTGCTTTAACTCGCACAGCAGTTTGCAACTGAAAAAAGGAAAAAGAAAGACGATAGCAAGTTCCGTTTTATGAATAAGTTGGAAGCAGTCAGAAGACCTTTGCAGGAAATTCTTGCTATTGATTGCACTATTGAAGCCATAAAACTTAGCTGTAAATCGTGGTGAAACATATCAAATTGAATTTTTCAAAAACGATAAAAGAAAAGGACAATTATGCATCCGAAATCGAAACAAAATTTGGCATCAGTTGTATCATATTTCACAAAATTATTCACTGACAGTGGTCAAAATAAAAATTGTTTTCTTGCAAGACTGCTAAAAAAGGGACGCTATCTTAAAAAGCACTTAACTTTTCCAAAAACGATAAAAGAAAAACATAGAAACAATGAAAGTCATGCAACCCACACAAAAAATAATCCAGTCTTCATTCAATCGCCTTTCAATCATTTGTAATGTTGTCGATGATAAGCCAAGCTAAAATGGGCAATAATTATGTACCTAAACCTTCATTCGATAACAATGACAAAAATCGCATGTTCAGCTAAATTTAATGCTCATTAGAAGCATTTATTTCCTCACTAATGCATTTCTTTAAGTGTAAAACTTTACAAAATACTTCCATATGCTATGGTATACCTACTAAGAGGAAGATTTTCTCTCATTGCAAGGGACAAAACATAAAAAAAAATTTAAGTGAACATAATTAATCTGCAGCTTCTCCAGCTGATCTTTGTGTCATTTAATTTTTCTCTTTGAAAGATTACAAATTTGCATATTAAGAACTATTTACCGTATGCCCTATACTCAGAACTTTATGCTTGATCCCTCTCAACCCTACTCCCTGTGAGCGAATCTGCTCAAGTATCGCGCTTCCGTGGCTAATAAGTTCATCAATAGCATTGTGAGAGGAATGTAAATGATCATGGAGAACTAGTTCGCAGTCTTCGATTGAGACATGTGTTGTGTCATTTGGGCGAAATCTGAAATTGCATTAATGAATAATATAAACTGGACTCTGGAATTATAAATCAAAAAATTGAATTAATAGAACCAAGCTGAAAAAAACTAAGAGCCCAGTTACGTCCCCAAACTCCTTTCAAAAAAAAAAAAAAAACTTTTCCCACCTCTCCACAAACATAAAATACCTTTGAGTAAGAAGTTCTTCTCTTTCAGCAATGGCCCTCCATTTACTTGTCATACGCATGTGCATATTGTCAACTGTCGAGTGCAGTGAATGACAATCGAATTTCAACTGATCCACTTTATATTTGACAGTACGTCGACGATGTGGTGGTTCCTTGCTGACAAATATATCTAGACGTCCACAATTTCCATCAATCTGCCTGCATGTTAGAACTAAATTCGAAGAGTTTAAATTTAAAATTAAGAGAGAGATTTTCAAAAGTCTATCGACCAATCACAGTGTGTTTGATCAAGAATCGAAGTATCAAAAATAATTGCTAATAATCCTTCCTTCATTTTTTCTGCCAGCGTCAAATCCCTACTCATGCATAAGACCTAACTGTTAAGCATGACTAATTGAACTTGGTGTTCTGTAAGATTCTTACATAGCGTTCTTCAGTTTTTCTACATTAATACTCAATTAATGAAATCATAAGATGTGAAATATCACACTAAAATACAATTTCGCAAACTTTATGAAAAGACCAGATGTGGAACCAAAACTTACTTCAACCGCTGGTAAATATTTTGGATAATTTTCTGAGCATCGCTTTCATTTCGCATGCTTTCCAAGGTACCTAAGTCAAAGTGTACTTGTTGCAGCAGACTATTTGTTTCGTGATACAAACTTTCCATAATAGACTTACTTCCCTGCTGAAAAAGAAAGAATTTTATTTATCATAAATCATGCAATAATTTCTGACAATGGAGGATGCATGAAATGTATAAGGCAAAGTGTGGAATGTATGTATAGCTCCGCTCTAGCACAAGTAATCATCAGAAGCATGTCTAAAAACAATACAATGATGACAACATGTGCCGAAAGAATTTCATCCGTGGTTTCCTTTATGGTCAACCATAACCACTTGGCGATAACGGGGCATAGCCAAGGACAATACGAAAATAACGGTCGCAGAGCAGTGGATGGGGTGAAGCGCACTGTTGAGCAGGGGGGGGGGGCTGTATCATGATTCATTTCTCTTCTTTCGGTTAATTTTTGTGCATCTCACTGTTGAGTTTTCAAATAATCCTGTTAGCTACTTTGAAAAGTATAAAGTACTGTGAGATCCATTATTTCATAATTCTTGTTACCTTTTGAAGATATTAATTTAATCTTCATTTATCGATCGATAAATTGTGTTCAGAGTGTCATTTGTCATCAATTGTTAAATACTACAAAATAACTTTTTTGACTAATGACTTAATGACCCTTCATTGTGTTTCTTTTACCGTTTGTGAAATTTTATTAGTTTTAAAACCCTTCTTTTTTGAATTTTTTCCTGACGACTTTGTACAGACGCCTCCCACTAGGTAACTGAACAATCGTAGTAGCTCATAAACAGTTCCATGTGCTCCTGATGGCTTAACTTCTATGCTATCATTGCTGTACTGTTATACTTCCTTGATCATTATAAGCATGAAAAAGGATCTCAAAATTGAAGAATCGTTGGAGGAGATTTTTAAGATGAATTGTGTGGATGCACTACTTTTTAATGCTGATATTACTAAAACATCGAAAAAGTTGTTCTTTAATAGTATAGTCGAAAGTATGAGCAAATGATGTTGTTTGAGGACAAGAGAGAAGGATGATTTGCTTATTCCATTTAGTTAGGTTTACAGGGAACTTTTGTATGTTCCCAATGTAATTAGCTCTCATTATCTCAGTTAATCCCATAAGCTTAGAGAATTAATTACTAACAGTGTAGTCACATAAGTAGTGATAATTTTATTAAGATCTCTCAGTAAGCTTATTATCACCGTAAATTCACTATTTTGTTTCAGTAAAGAGCATGGAAGATTCCATTTTCTCCTATCTGTACATTAATCCATGCTGTAAATTAATTGTCGAAAATTATTGAGAACATTTCTACGATTACTCAGTATTACCATAGGGGTATTATTAAGAGACATCTCATCATTATGGAAAGAGATATTTATATAATGGATGGAATAAATTAGAATAATTTCCAAGTGAAGATTTCAGATTGAGAATCAAAATCTGTTTCAGAGAACTCGAATACTCATTTTTGCCATCTGTAAGGAGTTCCCAGATATTTTTTTTTTTTTGTTTTTGTTTTAACTGTGCAAATGGTGGTGAATTACATAGCTTTTGTCTGAACTGAATGAATATTATGCAGGCCGTCGATCAGGAAGTATGCCAATCGATGTATATTGTTACGCCTTATTTAGAGCACCTGTTGCTGAGCTTGGTAGCAAGCGGAACTATTGAATTAAATTTTATTATGCGTAATATATGTTTGAAAGTTTTTTGATTCAAATTGGCCTTATATTGCTTCATTCAATATGTCTAGGTATATTCAAATCAAGCGCTGGTAATTATTGGTGGAGTTATTAATTGGTCTTAGTTTGATACGAGTCATCTGCTAAGTACAATCAGTTCCTATCGTGCAGTTGAAAAGTGAATTTGGCTTCTTAATTATTTACTAAGTATTTAGCCCTATTAATCCGAGGATAAGTCTGCGATATATACCTCCTTGTTTCTCTATACAGTTAAATTGACCTTATCGTTTTTATAATCAGTTATCTTTCTACGTTTATAGTCATTAAAGTTTACGGTTTACTGTTATTATGATTATCAAAATGAGACACGAGCAATTTGAGCGCCTTCAACGAAAAATAAGAAGTTTGCAGTTGTAACTTTTTATGATCAAATAATAATAACAATAAACCGATATAATTTATATCACATAGGATTTTCTCGGTGAACTACATTTTGCAATGCACTTAACAAAACTGGAGGATAACTCAACTCTGGTGAAACCCGGATGAAAATTGTAGAATTTTTTATAGTAATCTCTCTTAATTCAACTTTGAGGTTTTTTGCGCGTGCTTAGCAGATATATTTTATTGTCTTCTAATAATACAAGTTTTGATGAACGTATTTGACTTTATCACTTAAGTTTGATAAATTTTGTTAGTAGTTTCTGGAGCGGTTATCTGATTAGGATAGGTATTTAAGCCTAGGAGTGAAATTTCATTTCTGGAGTGAAATTTCTACTTCAAGCTTAAAGGAAAGTTTCTATGCTTCTTTTAATTTATTGAACTCCATTTCACTTTCGAGTTGTATTTTTAATAAATCTATTTTTTAGAAATCATCATTATCGATCAATTACACAAGTGCATATGTGCCAGTTTAATAATAAAGAAATATAATTTCTTGCTAGCTTTTTGTCGGAAAATTCTGAGAAACTTCAACCAGTCAATCAATCGAAATTTCAGTCTTATAAACCAAGTATATTCAAAAGTGGAAAATATATCGGCCTGAGTTACTGCAATGAAGATTACAGTCACATGCGACTTGACTGGTGCAAATGTGTTTCCACTCGAAGTAAACAGCGACATGGAAATGGAAAATTTTTTGGCACTTTGCAGATTCGAAATTCCTGTCCTGAATGGTGTACCGATGTCGCAGTTAAAAATTATTCATAATGGTCATACAATAAATGTGAATGCAAATAATTTGAAAACAACTTTGAATGTTGGTTTTAACTAAATCTTAATAGGTTGACAAAATGACAACTACGTCAAGTTAAAGAGACTGTTGGAAACTATTTATGAATTAATTTGTAGTTTATAAAAAAAAAAAGATTTTTGATTCTAATATTCTAATAAACAAGAACTCTCCAACATAAAATTTACTCCGAAAAATACTACATTTTGGAAATATATGGTCTCATTACCTGTGTTTATGATCAGCTAGTCTTGTTGAAAAAGAAATTTAATTCTTAAGGGAGCTTCAGGTAATGCGAAAAAATTTAATTTAATTTTACATTCACACTGTGCTTCTGTTGCGGATTACCATTTTTGAATAAATGTAACGTATGGAAATGATAAATTTCTGGAAAATTCACTGATAATATCTTTTTGCAGGACTGGAAAATATACGACAATGATGTAATTGTTCTGGTAGCAGACATGCCGACAACATCATCCGTACAACCTCAATTTTCGAGTGCTGTGATTACTGATTTAGTAAAGTCAATTAGAGTGCCACAAGACAGCATGCGTCGCGACAAGAATCTGAAAGACAGTGAACTTGCTGAAGTTATTTTTATTATAGCTATACTTTATATACTGTCTAAAAGTGTCATTTTAGTATGAAAGTATGAAAGAAAGTAGTTTCTTAAAACTTTCTTCAATGTAAATAGTAAGTGAGCCTTGCATTTTAATCTAAGCTTTATTTCGTCCAGTTCCTACCAGCAATTATTTGAGGAGAGAAGGAGGAAAGAGTAATAGTTTCATCTCTAGTTGAAAAATCTTATAATAGTTTATTGTGCTGAAAACAGAAATATTCAGTGCTGTTAATCAAATTTACACATTTGTTTTTTAGCTTCGTACGTTGTTCGATGGACTCCGGAATAGCGCAGAACGTCGTAACCGTTTGCGTAATGTTGTGCCGAATTTAATTGCTGCAGTTGATCAAAATAATTTTGGTAAGAAATCTAGCATAATACTTGAAATATGCTTAAAGTTTTGTTGACAGTTGTCTGAAGAAAAGAGTTTAATGGTGCATTAGCTTCCTGATCTTTCTCATTTTTTATACAGCGGATGAAATTTAGCAGAAATAAAAAGTGCAGAAGGAATATGTTGAAAGAGTATTTTATTTTATTTTTTTTTAATTTGTACTTAAAAAAAACTCTTTTTTGGCTGGTAGATCAGTATAGCAGCTATCATCATGACTTTACATATGATTTGCTTAACTTCGTTTTCAGTTTTCATTTATATCTTGCGAAAACATAATTTTGTTCATATGTTCAAGTACTGATGACGATTCTGTTGCAGATATGTTTAAAATGAAATATATCGCCGAACGACAAAGTGCGTTTGCCCGAGAACGAGCAATGCTTGATCCAACAAGTGCCGAAGGACAGCGACTGATTGCGGAACAAATCCAACGTGAAAACATCGATTTTTCACATCAGTTCGCAATGGAACATATGCCAGAAGCTTATATACCTGTATCGATGTTGTACATCAAGATGAAAATAAATGGGGTTGAAGTAAAAGCATTCGTGGATTCAGGTTTGTTTGACCAACAGGTATTTCTGTTGAATACTTTAATAACAGATATATTAAAGTGACGATAACTTTTGCAATGAAATTTTCTTTTATAATAAGTTTTCTTGTTAGTATTTTATGAAAATCTTTCTTCATTATGGCGTTCTGTTATAGATTTCTTTATTTGAGAAGTCTACTGGTTCACCAGACCAACTTTTAAACTCGAAGTCAAAAGTTCCCATTGCCAGGAGCACAAGTGTCGATATTGTCCGATTCCGTTGCGCAACGTTGTAATTTGATGCGCTTAGTGGATCAAAGGTTTCAAGCAACGGTGCACGGAGTTGGTGGTGCCCAACAATTATTAGGAAAAATACATGCCTGTAAGTGGTAATTTTTCTTGTACTACAGTATTGATCGGTGATTGCAACTACAAATAACGGGCAGTCATATGCATGTTTTTATATCAGTGTTGTAATGTTTTAGGCCAAGTTCAAATTGAAGAACAATTTTTCTCATGTAATTTTGATGTTCTGGCAAATCGTGATATTGACGTTTTGCTTGGCCTCGACATTCTTAAACGACACCGTTGTGTCATTGATTTACAAATCAATTGTTTACGGTGAGATAATTCTTTATATTTGATGTTAAATGTTCTTGACATTGTCGGTTGGGCTAGTACAAAACTATGCAATACGCAAGTGTTTAAATGAAAAACGAAAAATGAAATTAAGTGGTGATTTAAAGCTGTACCATTCATCCCGAGATGTATTCAACGCCTTATTTTTAATTATGCCGAAGTTTGATTTATTAAAAAGAAGGCATTGAATATCTACCGGGATGAAATGGTACAGGTTTTATAAAAACGTTTCACAGATTCGGTGAATCAGCAGTTACACATTTTCTACCAGACTCAGAAGTTCCGCAAAGAAATCTTGAGCGATTTGGGACTACAAATGCGACCACTGCGAATGGTATATCTTAGTAAAATTTTTCTAGATAAGTTTAAGATTAAAAAGCAGTCGCTAGTTTCAGTTTACTTCAGCTTTTTTTTTTGTTATGGATTGGAATTACGTTTTGCAGTGGAAGTGGATAGCGCAAAACTGGCTTCACTGATGGCACTTGGTTTTGAAGAAGCAGCAGCTCGTGCAATGCTTATACAGTGCGGAAATGATGTTGAAGCGGCGGCCGCAAATTTATTGGCTAAGAAGTCACCATTATGAACGAGCTTGGGTGTATCAAGAGAAAAGATAGACATATAAGCAATTGTTAGATTGCTTATGATTCAATGTGAAACAAGTTTGAAGTTGGTTATTATTCATAATAAACCATTTACACCTTTGACTAAAATTCTGCCTCTGTGGGTTGCGCAGTTTGACATGATTCTTTGAAATACCTAAATAAATGACTATGGGAGAGCACTAGGTTTCCGAAGATATTACAAAAAAGTTATTCACCATAAATATTATGAAATCATGTCTTACTGTTATTTTAAATTACATATGCATTGAAGATAACAGTAAATGATAAAGATCCATAGCATGTGAGTACTTCATATCCTGTATTTAATAATCTTTTGCAGACAAAAATAAGATATAGTTCATACTCTTCGTCCTGTAATTGAACCCCACCTGAATTCCTGCGAACTATCAAAAACCTCGATCCTCCACTACTTTCAAATATTCCTTTTCTTTTCACATTTCCCTTCTATTGTTGTCCCTCCCATCCCAAGAATTTTGCATCAATTTCATACTCTAGAATAAAAATGCGCCGGAGTATTACAGAAGCACCTGTCTGGAGTATTCCATTATTTATTCTCTAAAAGTGGTAGAAATCACAGGGAAGCGGACAATTATATCCGCGGTTTTCAACGATGTTGATAGCCGGATAAGCCAACTGGCTAATGTTAATTGAAGCACGTTACGGTCTGCAAAAACCCTTTTAAGGTCCTCACTACCTACTCGGTCTTGCATCGAAAAATTTTGTTGGAAGACCGACAAAAAGAATGAGCACGACTCAAACCCTAAATACACTGTCAATTTTTCAAAACTTCATTCAATTACCGGTTTGTAAATTTTATCAAAATACAAGAACTAAAGCCGTATTGATATATCTCAACCGGCAGAAAAATGCATGTCTTCACATGAAACAATATATGCTACTGAATATTAAAAAATGGCAAAGTTGCCGTAAAGAAAAAGTTAACATCAATATTCCAACAATTTTACCGGCAACAACAACCCGAACTTATCGAATTAAATGAAGACTACAACCGGAAATTTAAAAAGAAAACTCAAGAAAGAAAAAAAAACAAATCATTATTTGGCTTGCCGCAATGACGGAGCTGTACCACTCTATAACCTGATAGAAGATAAGCCATGAAAATCTGTTTTGTGAACAAAAACACGCATAAATCTCCGTGCCAACTGGAACAAAAACACGCTTTGCAAATTTCTCGAGATGAACATAAGAAAAATCTAGCAATAAAGCATTAATTAACTCAGTAAAAGATAACAATGCTGAAATAGGAGATTATGATCATGACTGGGAGTGAAATAATCATTGATACGTGATCTTTTGGTGATTTAAGACATTTCAATACTATTTTTCGTACGGATATTTTACAAATAAAAAATTCAGTACTTCTACATGAATCAAAATTAGGAAACCACAAAAATGAATGATCTCTAGTTAAATGAAGAAAAGAACCTATATTTATTTCCAGTCAGCAAGCGTCACATTAAACAGTACGAGCAGAATACCGCTTTTTTGCTTGATATAATTCACTCTTCAGTCGCATATTTTCGACACGTAAATGCCGATTTTCTTCTCTCACTTCACAAATCGCATTTTCAAGATGAACGATTTGCTCATCCTTGATATTTACTGCTTTACCAAAATCAGTAATTTGACGCTGAAGTTGCTTGATTTGCTCATCCTTCATTTTTTGTTGCTGCTTTGCTTTAGTACGTGATCGTCTTACGGCATCATTGTTTTTTTCACGTTTCAGCCGATACAATGGATTTTTTTTTTCCGCCTGTAAGAGAAAAAATTTATTTATGCATTTATTAGTTTATAAAAAAATGAAACATCAAGTAACTATATCTTCAACAAATTAGGATGGAAATATATAAATAATCAACTATATTGTCATATCAGAAATTGTTATGTTAGAAAAATAACTCATCCGCCCAATATTTTCAACTCCATTTTAAGTTTCAAATTCAAAGCTGCTAAAGACTGCTAAATGAATGTGTCCAAGCATACTTCTGGCTTCAGTGAATACTTTCTAGGCTTGATAGTTGGTGTAAAAGAGATTCCGATCTGTTCTGGCATATCCTTCTTCACAGATATTGTCGGCCGAGTTTCTCGCTCTCCTTTCCTGTCCTCATTAGTTATTTCCATTTTTACGGGCTGGAAATTTGCTGCAAAACCCGATGTTTCCGGAACTGCAACCGATACATCATCCAGACTTGCGCCCGATTTTATAGCTTCTGCTGAAAAATTTACCTTAAGAATCTATTTTAACCCCGAATTCAGCTCCACTGTAACAAAATAAATTAGCAGAGCATGAATATGCCCCATAAAATGACCTAATACATCGAAAAGAAGTAGCATATTACCAATGCTTCTCAAATCTTCATACTGAGTAGTAGATTCACAAACACCATGTTGCATTTGTATGTCACATTCCAATACCCTTTGTTTATCAACCATGGGCTCCAGATCTTCACCGCCGTCATCTATCCCTCGAAGATCTCTTAAATACGGAGTTAGGTCCATGCTCTGATCCATAAAGTCAAAACCATCTTGTTCTTGCAACTGCTGACAGAGCATTAGCGAATCCTAAAATTCCATCATACTGCAAAAAGGTTCCTTTTCATGATCAACTGATTCTTAACTTTACCATATAATCCGGTAAATAAGCGCTTTCGCGTAACCCTAACCCTAAACGAAAGGTATCAATAACACCCTAGCCCAAGAAGAAGAAAACAATGTAAGAATAAGAATAATAAAAATAAATTTCTTCAAATCTGTCAAAGCATGAAAAAATAGGTACAGTAACGAGAGGGAGACTGAAAAAGCAAACGATTAAGTAGAGAAAAGCTCAATGCATTACTTGTCGATCAACTGATTGCGCAATACTATCAGTAACAGTTTTCAGACGATTTCGTCCATCGAAAGTTTTCATATTCATAGAATACCTGCCGTCACAGGTGCCGTTATTTAACATACTTTCCACACTTTCGATATTTCTTGACATGTCTGGCAATTTGATTTCACACAGTCGATCAAATGATAAACAAACATATATCACAACCTTGAAGGCTAAAAAATTGAGTATAATTCTAATGACTAGGACACACTACTAAAAATATGACGAACAAACAGGAATTAAAGTTCAAGCCTAAGTTAACTTATAAAGAAACACAGTTAATCTTTCGTTCACATGTTTCACCACTTGATAACTTCTTGACTAAATGCTTTTTACGTCCATGTAAAGTGAGCCCTACTTCCATTTTACAAGAATACCACATAACACTAACGAAAATATGTAAATCTCTTTACAGCAAAAAGCAAGAAGATGAAGATCAGCGTAAAACTGAGCATAAAACCGACCAGGGGAAACTCCAAATTTAAACGATCAGTTTAATCAAACAGACAGAGAAATACTTAAATAACACCGAACCTACGACAAACCAACGACTCAACAAAGCGATGTAAACGAGATATTTCTAATCAACACATTACTACTGTTCCTTCGACTACCATTATTCACTTTTCACTTTGTCCTCAATTAGTTACATTAAATTAAAAAGCAAAACAATTATTAAAAAATATTGAGAAAAGAAATAGTTAGAAATTCAAATTTCTGTAATCAACAAACAATACAAACTAAACAATAGTAATTTAAATGTTAGAATATAACAGTTCTGCTGCCAAAGCCTTTCCTCGAAATTCGATGAATGCAATTGATAAGTCATCACTCGTGCCCTTAACACATTTGTGAGAGTGAAAAGGGAGACCGGGGAAGACTTCTGATGAGCCAGCGACCAAGAAGCCTGTGTCCCTAACACGACCCAGCAGAACTGCATCTACACCCCTCGGCGTATACGAAACGCCTACTACGACAGACACAACCACACACACACACAGGCTCCGCCTCTCCTCCACAAAAAGACTCATTTCTCAACCAACCTGCATGAGTCATCTCCGTCACAATGTAGTTGTTTTATGGCAAGTCAGCTGACTAGACCGCTGCTATCTTCCCAACGATTCTTAAAGTGATTACATGCATAAGAAACTCTCTCAAAATACAAGAAATCATTTCAGGACCTGATAATGCTTATGCAGCTCTCTTCGATGGCAGTTTGAGCTCTACTTCAATAGTTGTTGAATATTTATATCATAAATGGATATCTCCCGTGCATGCTTCTCATCTCATTATATCATGCGGAATATATTTCTAGCCTACCATGAGTTTATGTTTTTCTCTGTTGCTCGTCGTCTCATAACTAGTCCTGTGTTATCGCTGTGGTCCCGTCATAGGTAATCACTTATTTAGCTGTAATTGTCCCGTCGTTGTAATTCTTACTTTTTCCTCAGAATTACGGTCGGCAGTCACTATTGAAGTACTTGGACGAAGTAATTGGATATAAACGAGATTATGAGCGGGAAGCGGTATAAACAAAATGCATGTAACATCGATCAGTGTCCTGTAGCTAAGGTTAACTTATGACTCTTCATTTCGTTAGGGTTATAAATAATTCATTTTCTTACGGCGTTTTTTAAATACTACCAAGTACAAATTTAAAAGTAATAGAGGAACTGATTAATAAGTAAGTTAGTTTTGACAAAGTATCACAAATGATTTGTAAGATTACATATCAGCATTTGTAGTGTCTGTTGGTTTCTAACTCAGAAGACGTGTTTAATGTCTGGATTATCGTATTAAGTATAGAATTGTAGAGTTTGGTACTTTAGCAATGAAGTTTTAGGAACAGAATTTTTTGGAAAGATTTTGCGTTTTTATTTAAACGGGATGCATGTCTGGTTAAAATCCTTCTTTCTGTGTCACCCATATGTCATCAGCTTATCTGTTGCTGATAATTTCATCTTGCTAAATAGTTCCAAACTGTCATTCGTAACTCTAATCTGAGAAAGAATTTTTGTTCTTCAGAAAAAATTTCGTCGCAAGGAATTACCAGTCGATGGTGTTCATTTACAGTTGGCGGAAGTGATAAGGCAAAATGGCATATCAGTCATTGTTGGTGAAACTGGAAGTGGTAAAAGTACACAGATTCCTCAGGTACGCACGATGTCTTTCTCTTTTGAATCTTTGTCTAAACCTGATTTGTTTTCAAAATCTTGCTGCTTGTCTTATTGTCCATGAAACTTGAATTTATTTTTTAGAAAGATATATTAAAATGTTGATAAATCTTTCAAAGAGAGAATTCCAAACCTATTTTACCTTTTTGTCTTGCAAATTATGCAAAGCAGTAAGAGGAGAATCCATAATTCCAAGTTGCAAGTTTCCCGCTACAAAATATGACATGTGACTACCTCATTTATTGCTTCATTTCATTACATTAAAGTGAATTTTGTCGAAAAACGATGACATTTCTTAGCTAATTTGTTGACCTTCTTCGTAAAGCTTATGCTCTCAGACTTGCAATATTTAAAATACACTACATTTTTTGCTAATCATAATTGTTCAGATTTGTTATAATGAAGGTTTGATCGGTAGTGGTCTTTTGGCTGTTACACAGCCACGCCGTGTTGCTGCAATAACACTTGCGAAACGTGTAGCTTTGGAAATGAATGCAAATCTTGGTGAAGTGGTAAAATTATTTTATACAAGTAATATTTATATTTGCAGAAATACAGTGGGTGTTGTTTGTTTAACAGCACAAAGCTAAAACATAAGCAAATGATTTAAAATATTTTTCAACAAATAGCAAAAAGTGAAAGAAACACTGGGATTGTAAAAGAAATATCGATCTGAACTATTATTAACTATCCTATACCATAGCTTTATTGAATACAATGTATTTGTATTACAAGTCGTGTGTTGGCGATACCAATATTATGTTTTAGAACACAATACAGATTTGCTAAAAGCGGAAGATTTGTTTAACTAAAATTAGTGAAAAATTAGTATTAACTGGTTAAAATTATGAAGTAACCAACGGGAACTTAGCAAAAGGTAAATTTCAGGTTGCCTATAAGGTGAGGTTTGAAAATACCACAAGTGATGAAACAAAGATTGTTTACGGTACCGATGGTATCTTTTTACGTGAAACATTTTATGATTCGTTACTCACACCTTATTCTATTGTAATTGTCGATGAAGCTCATGAACGTTCCGTTCATACAGATATCTTGTTATATTTGCTGAAGCTCTGTTATAAGCAGCGGTTAGGTACATCCAATCCATTAAAGTTGCGTTTTTTATTAGTTTATTTGATTACTGTTTCTTAATATATTCAGTTATTTGTAACTTAAAATAGTTTATCTCTAAGTTCTGAGGAATTGCGCAAATATCAATGTCTAATTTTAGGTTGTTATCATGTCAGCTACATTGGAAACTAATGTTTTTTCGGAATATTTTGACAATGCACCGGTATACATAGTACAAGGAAGAACCTATCCAGTCGAGGTAAGAGGCTAATTTATTATACTAAACTGTGAAAAGCTTTCGTTATTAAACATGTAGCAATCTCTCTTCACTATTTGAGAAGGAAAATGCAACCTGTAGAATATATATATATATGCAATTAAACTTACCAACTTCTGTACATATTAGCGTTGATTGAACACTAGTTGTTGCATGTAGGAAAATATAAGACATTATAATATAGAAAATTATTGTATGTTATGCATATAAAACATAGACATTAGATATATTAAGTAAAAGAAATGGCACCAGTTTTAGTTATGAATGAAATAAATTCATTGTTTAAGAAGAAAGTCTTCATTATTTTGCGCATATGAAATGCGATTTTTACTTTACAGATTTTTTATGCAAATTCATTGGATAAAAAAGATGATGATTATGTGTTCAATGTTTTGACAACGGTTTTGCAAATCCATCGTACTGAACCACTAAGGTGAATTCTTTCCGCAAGTGATTTCTTTAAAATCTAGTTGTGTCAGTTAATTTTTATACCAGATTAAAGTTTGGTAGTACTTTATGTTGTAATCTTTTATCTTTCTTTTCCACTTCTATCTGCTGCTTAATTTTAAGCTCTGAATTTTACTGTTCAGCTCCGATGTATTGGCATTTTTAACTGGACAGGAAGAAATTGAAACAGCATGTAAGAAAGTGCAGGAAGCTTCAAGACTTCTACCGGGTGATTTGGTAGCTCTCCCACTCTATGCGGGTCTCCCACCATCGGCACAAATGCGGGTTTTTGAACCAGCAGGCATACCAGTATGATTTTCAAGTCATTAAAATTTATTGTTTAATTAAGGTTGATTAGGGAGAGGGAAACAACAGTGTTTTAAATCATTATTGTAAATTTTATAGTTAGCTGTAGTTTTATTGTCTTGTAGTAAATCTTTTATATAATCGAATCAATCTACTTGATGCAAAAGGATGAGAATAACAAATAACACCAGCCGATGAACAAATGTATTAGATTTGGAGGAATCGATTTTGATGTTAATAATTTGTGTTTATGTCGAATAATGGTTGAAATAAATCCAATATTTAATGCTTTTGATTTCACAATGATATATATATATATATATATATATATATATATATACCATCCTTTGAGTAGCATACGCCAAATGTTATATCAAGCTTTTAAATAATTCACATCGTTAATGGATAAAATGAAAAAGAATTAAATAAGTTTTCAAAAACAAATTGAATTTGTTAAAATTCATTTTCTGCTTCCAGCACACACGCAAAGTTATTTTCGCTACAAATATAGCGGAAACATCCATTACTATACCAGGTGTGCGGATTATTGTTGACAGTGGAAAAATAAAAGTGAAGTAAGCCTCAATTGAAGCCCTTTATTTCTCTCTTTATTATTTTTTGTCTGCTTTAGAAGGATGTTATTTTTTTTATTCAAGCTAATATTGCATCACTATTTGTTTTTAAAGAACCATGCATGCAGATAGAGAAAAAGTGGGACTTCCACTGACCATAACTTATGGACATATCTATTTCAATTAGAGATGAATTCAAGTGCCGAAGGGTTCATATCAGTTTTCTTCTGGTTCATGAATTTTGTGATTCAAACTGAAATGAGTTTTTGTTTGTTTTCAAAATGTATTCATGGTAAAATTTTTTAAAGATTTGTCATGTCTGTTTAGAACCTTTCTTCCGGATCGTCATATCGATATTCTTCGTGTGGAAAATATTTCACAATGCTCAGCAACGCAGAGAGCTGGTCGTGCTGGACGTGAAGCACCGGGCAAATGTTATCGGCTTTATTCGGAAAAACATTTTCATTCATTATCCAAAATAACAGTTCCAGAAATTTTACGATCCAATTTATCTGTGGTAAAATTTAGCAAAAAAGTTCTTTTCAGAGACTGTGGAATAATTCGTGTGATGTATTTTTGCAGTTGAATCAAATGATTTGTTATAACTAAATGTTCTAAATTATTGGAGAATAATTCGGTATGATTGAAAGACAAAAGCCTTAAAATAACTTGTTATTTTTAAAGAAATTTTAATCCTTTGCGTAGGAACTATTCCTTGATGTCTGATAAAATTTAGTAATTAGAACAGTGGATTGAAGCTTTGCTTGAATTAAGATTTAGGTATATAGTTTTCTCTATTTTGTCCATTGCAGGTGCTACTCGAACTGTTACGTATTGGTTTACGACGAATAAAATCATTAGCTTTAATTTCAAATCCCAAAAAAGAAGGACTGGAAGCTGCTGAAAAACATCTTCGTCTGTTGGATGCAGTAAAGCAACCTGATGAAAAAGGGAGACTGAAACTTACTGAAATGGGTACAAGATTATCATCATTTCCGGTTGATCCAGCTTTTGCACGGTAAGTTACTGGTAACTGTTTCGAATTTTAATTTATTAATCCTCGAAATTTGCTGTCTTACTTTTTCCAATTTTTCAAAACTTATTTTTGTTGAATTTTAGTGCTCTGATAGCAGCTTCGCAGAATGGATGTTTGGAAGAAGTTCTGACAATTGTGGCATTTATGTCCATTGATTCCGTTTTCGTTAGTTCAGCTGTAGGTCATGAACGAACAAATTTATCAAAGCGTAAATTTGAAGCACCCGAAGGTGATCACTGCACCTTGCTGAACGTTTACCGAGGATATCGTTTAGCTCGGAAAGAGAAGAAGTTAGAGGTAATTCATGTATTCTTAAAGTTTCTCTTTTTTAATTTATTTCGATTCTCTATGTTTGTATGTTTTTTGATCTACTCGTGTGAACTTGGTCGAGTTATAATTCTTATGCCATTTAAGTCCATTCTTTAACTGTGTTAGTTTTCGTGATTGTCGGACATGGCATTTAATTTTTTAATCACATTCTCTGATGTTTGGACTGAGGTTTTAGTAACATGTGTATAGACGTTTAATGAAAACAAGTTTATTTTATTTGTATATGTCTTTCAAGTTATGTTTGATATTGTTTTACTGCTTTCTACTTATCCGGAATTTCGTTAAGGAATGGTGCGAAGCAAATCATGTCCATCAGCGATTACTTAATACTGTTTTCAAAATTCGAAGACAACTGCGCGATATTTGCCTAAAAAATTCACTGATTTTTCGTTCGTGCGGTACTGATACTGACAGACTCAGGTGATAACTGGTTTCAAATAACTGTAATACAGGAAAAAGATAAATATATTAGTTAATTGGATGGCCGAAAAAACTTGTTTTCAAAAAAAAGGAAAGAGAAGATAACTGAAGTTCTCAGAATATAAATAACATCAAGTTTAAAAAATTTGAGAGGAAAGAAGGAAGGAAAGGTCGAAAGCTTAAGCATGAATAATACTGTTATTTCAGGAAAACACTTTGTCAGGGTCTTTTCATGAATGCATGTGTTTATGAGAGATCACAGGACCGTTATAGTTTATTAATATCACCTGGAACCTCACTAAAAATTCATCCTTCCTCTTGTTTGTCTCGTTCTCGACCAACGGCCTTTATCTTTACTGATCTCGTTCGAACAAATGAGTTGTACGCTCGGTATGTTTTCTGTTTGCTCCTTGGTCTAATGGAAGTTATTTCTTGAAAGTGTTTCAAGGTTCCTCCTCTCTGAGAATAAGAATTGAATGGTTTGGTACATGCTTGGTTCCTCAAATTTTTTCATTTTCTTTTTTCATATTTTTCCTGTTTTTCAATATTCTTTACATTTGCATTTCCTTTCTTTTAGTGATATCACAGTGATTGATCTCGAGTGGGCCAAAGAGTTACTTGATTCAAAGAAGACGGTACTGAACATGTTTCGCGATGAAAGATTACATTCGGTGATTCATTCATAGAAAATGGAATGGCAACATTTGGTTATTTCTCTTACGGTCCCATTTAAAGCTAGAGCTATATACATTTTGAATTTCTTTAGTAAGCGTTTAGAAAATATAATTCCTGATTTCTGGCTTTTAAATTTATTCTTTGATATTATTTTATAAAATACCTCGATGACGAGATTTTTTTACGCCTGTGTTATTTGAAGTACTTTATTATATATATTTAAAAAAAGGACTCATTCGTATGCTGTTTGAATCACAAAAATTCCACAAAATTTTTAAGAAATAATTTGCTATTGAGTCAAGTTCGAAATATAGCCCAAGTTTTTAGTTTTTTTTAGAGAAATAATTTACTGTAGCCTGTTACAAATATGTAGATTATTTTTCTGTTGATGTCTTTTTATAATTTGTTCTTTGTTATTAATTTGTTTTGCTGTGTATCTTGTTGATGATGCTGGAATTCAACAAAAAAATTTTATACTGCCTCTGGCTGTAAAAATTCCTTAGAGAATTGTTTTTATAGTTTTGGTTGTTGTACGTTGCACTTGGTTTTCGTTAGGGGTAATCCTGTTTAATGATATATGCCTCTCAAACAGTCTATTTTGCTAATAACTTGGTTACGTATATTCGTGATACCATGCATATACAGTTCCATATAATTAGAACATAAAGGGGTTTTAATGCCGATGCGTATATTTTGTGAGCTTCGTAAGTTCTAATCTGCTTGAGTTGTAGAGATTTCGATTATACAAGACTTTCGTACTTTGTTATATTTTTTGGTTCTTGAAGCTGTTGTTTAATTTCATTTGGGGAAATTGGTCAAGTCTTTGATAAAAAACTTTCCACATATTTTTTCATTCGAAAAAGTTGATGAGAAAGAAAAAAGGGTAAAGGAAGTTTTTAATAGAAGAAAGTTGGCAGGGCAGCACGGCGATTCCCATGCAGTTATTCATACTGGTAGTGTAAATGCTGCAGTCTATGGTTTAACGTATTCAATGACATCACACACGATTATCTTTCATCTCTTTGGAACTACTATACTTTCGTCGAGAATTTGGTGTTATTCTTCACTTTGCTTAGAGTCTATTAAAACAACTTCCATTTGAGGTAGAAAATGAATCAGTGCTGGAGCAATGAAGCTCAAAAATTATCCCGAAATGTTGGCGAACAGTTCAAACAGGCTTTTGTTAACAATGAAGTACGTTGTTTACACTTCTTTCAACTCATATTGAATTGTGACTTGCTTTGCGAAAATTTCCATATTTTTATTTACAGCGTACCCAGTTCGATGCAGAAGTATTTCTATCCTTGTTTGACCAATATCTTAGAGAACCCAGTACTATTGATTGGACTAGAATGAAGCCATTAAGTTCGAAATTTCAAAGAAATTATGAATCACTACCGCACTGTTCTGGAAATGAGCTAGACAAGGTTGTGAAACATCTGTCAGTTATTAAGCTGAATGGTGGCTTGGGAACAACAATGGGTTGTGATGGCCCCAAGTCACTAATCGAAGTGCGTAAAGGGCTTACATTTCTCGATTTTGCCATTGGTCATGTACAGGTATTATTTCAACTGCATAGAAGCACCAGTGAGAATTTTCTCACAGAATGCTTTGAAGAATGTCCAGCTTAGTTATATAATTTTTTCCATGATAGTTCAAAGAAAAATTTAATGGAAATTGAAAATCTTGGATGCACAATTCATTGCAGTGGCAATTAAAGAATTTAATGAAAATTTGTCGATTTCTAAAAAAAAATTATTACTATCCATTTAGATTTGTATCCAAATAAAGTCTGTTGTTTTCGATTATTGACTTTGATTCTCTCATTTCCTCAAAACTTACTGATGGAAAGGAAACATTCAGTTCATCTTTTGCAGTACTTTAATAAAAGGAACAACAGTTCAGTGCCATTAGTTTTAATGAATAGTTTCAATACTGAAAAAGCAGTCTGTGAATATTTGGCTGATCGCAAGGTAAATCTGAAAACATTCCTACAGAGCAAATGTCCAAGGATTTTTGTGGAAAATTCAATGCCTGTCCCTTTCAAATATGGAAGTGAAAACGTTGAAGGGTAAGAGATTGTTTTCGTATTTGTTGTTCATTTTTTCGTGCTTCTCACTACTGATGATGAAAGATAACTATTAAAGCATTAAGTCTCATTTTATATTTAATACGATCAAATTATAATTTATTATCAAGATCATCATATGCGGCTGCCATGAAAAAAATCTGAACTACATCTGTCAGTAAATGATTTCTGCACGTTTAATGTTTCACTTGTGAATTATTAGTTATCAGGTGATAATATGTAAATAGGACATTGGACTAGAACTATTTTAATAAAAAGACAAACAAATTACTTTTGATGAATCAGTTTGATTTTTTTACCACTTATTAAATTTTCCGAATTATCTCTTATTCAGTTGGTGATGAGGGTTCATTATAGATCTAAAATTTTAAGCCAGAAATCATTTGCCTACTATATTTTGTGAAGTACAGTTAATTAATTCCTCTATAATTCGGTGTTTTCGGGTGGTATCCACCGGGTCACGGAAATATTTTCAAATCGATGCAATTTACGGGTGTTTTGGATGAGTTGCTCGCTCAGGGACGTGATATATGTTTCATCTCAAATATTGATAATACTGGTGCAACAATTGATTTGCGAATTGCTAAGCTAATGGTAGAGAGTGATTTGGAATATATTATGGAATGCACCGAAAAAACCAAAGTTGATAGGAAGGTTCACTTTTTGTTGGTCTTTGAGAGTTTCTCTTTTTGAAACGAAAATGTTGAATAGCGATTAACCCAAGCGCTATTATCATTTTTGTGATTGTAGATTAATATCTTCGTCAAACTTTCCCTTCAGGGAGGCACTTTGATTGAGATAAATGGATATATCATGCATTTGGAAATGCCACAAGTACCCAAAGATCATATCAATGACTTCTGCTCAACGGATATCTTCAAGTATATGATTATATATACATATAAAAGTTTCTACTAATCTATGCACTGTAGCACTGATTTTTATTGGTTTCCATTCTGTTATGTAAAATTAGATGTATTCCCTCCATCCTTAAGTCATAACTTTAAAAAAGTTTCAGAATCTTCAACACCAACAATATTTGGGTCAATTTACGGGCTGTAAAAAAAAAACTTGCTGAAATGAAAATGGAAATTATTGTCAACAGAAAGGTTTGAGGGTTTTTTTTTACTATTCTATCTTAATATTCAGTAAGTGTTTTGAAATTCTAATGGTTTCATGATTTCTTTTTTGTTATTTTTTAAGGGATCATTCATTTCGCGTTTTTATCATTTGTCCTTATAATAGTTGGACATTATTTGGATTCGGGAAGCTTAGGCATATCTATTTGCAAATATGGTCATGAAGTGAAGCCTAAACCTCCTATGTGGGCGGAATTGTCAGTGATTAGATATAGTTGAACACTAAACTAACTGTACATTCAATGAAAGATCGAAAAGCTGAAAAGTTGTCACTTGCTGATAATTAGAGTTGAAATGGTTTAGCAACCAACATCTTGCCTAGTTTGTTATCTATATATACGGCATGTATTGCTGATATGTATACTCTTTAAGTCGGTATTGTTGCTTACGTACCACTAGGAAGGGTACGCAATGACCAAGTTGTCCTCATTATCAATGTTGAAGTAAGCTGCTTCCCAATGCCATCAGCGATAAAGTGTATGGTTTTTGAAGATTCTCAGTACGGGCGAATTCGTCATTCAATTGGAAACGTCAGTAGGTGGTACCATTCGAAATTTCGACAAGGTGTTGAGTATGTGCTTTTTTGTTTTTGTTTTTTTTTTTTTTTTTTACTGTAACTAAAATTATCTGCAGTGGTGGTTTCCAATATAATACTAAGCCATTGGCTCTTTTTGATCCCAAATTCCTTATTATACCGCTCTTGGTTCTAGGCTCATTTGTATACTGAAAAGAAATGACAGGCTATTCTTACGCAAATTTATGTAATCTCTTAGTATTCATATTTGATCCATATTATCTCTCACCCTAAATCATGTATGTTTGATAATATTCCCTGAAACACTTTGTGTGGCTTATTATATCTTAGAACGATAATGGAGTGAAATTTCGCTTTCACATAATAAATTAACAACTTTTCCAGGTATTCAAGTGCCCCGTTCTCGCTTCCTTCCTGTCAAGAATACCCAGGACCTACTTGCTATCATGAGTGATTTATATGAAGTCAGAGAAGATTTTTCGCTGCAGTTTGTCAGAAAAGGCAAAGTTCCAGTCATCGAGCTGTCGAAATACTTCAGCAAGGTTTCCGAATTTCAAAAACGGTTTCGTGAAATTCCGCAATTACGACAATTAAAACGACTAAAAGTTGAGGGTGACGTGTATTTCGGACATCGTGTGGTGCTGAAAGTAAGTCTTCAGTTGTTTGCTGGGCGGTTGTTCTAAAGTGTGAGAAGCAACAGTAGATTAGAATAGCTTCTTTTGAAAAAAATCATGGCAAATCTTATTTGGGTAACCTATCGAGACGCAGGAGTAGTAGAATTGCATCATGCAACTGGAACTGTTATCTGGAATGGTTAGCTGGTGAGAGTTGTCGATGGCTGAAATAATTGTGAGTCTATTTCAGGAGGTCCTAGTTCCTAGACAGTTTCATTCTTAATGTTTTTAAACAGTGATATTGATGTCTTTGGTTTTTCGTTAATTTTGAACATTTATGTTTTTAAATTTCTGCTTGGATTCTTTTTTTTTTTTGAAAAGAACAACGAATTAGAATAATCACGATTTTATTTGTCTTTATTTTTCTTTTTATAATTTTTACACAGCTGATAATCAGTTATGACTTCTTTTGCGATTAGAGAAAATGGTCAACCCCTAGATCATTTTTTCAGGACAACGTAGAAATCGCTGCTGATCAAGGACAACAACTGGAAGTAGCCGAAGGCGAATGTTTGGAAAATATTAAATTGATACAGAAAGCACATTATGAGGTGCAGAGAATACCACTGGACCATTAGACCATTAAAAGTTAGTTGCTCCACCAAAAAAAAGTCTTCTTTTAGGTTTTCCTCACTTTTGAATATATCTAAAAAATAGGCAGAGGGGCAGGATGGTATCTAATTTTTGGCATTGTACAGTTGAATTGAGTTCATAAATCGGTGAGTTTCAGCCTTCACAATTGATGAGCTAAGGATTCAAGTTTATGATAAAGGATTAAATCTGAACAGTTAAAATCAGGAAGTTTGGCTGCCGAAACTTTGAAGCAAACAAATTATTAATTTGGAACTCATATTTAATTATAAATTGTAATACTTCTAACCGTGTAATTCAACTTCTTACTAATAATTATCCTCTTAATTATATTAATACCACTTTGTACTGTTGCTATTATTAGTGCTATTAATACCATTTTGTACTGTTGCTGTTATTAGTACTAATTATGTAATGTTTTACTATTAGAGTAATGCTTGGTGATTACGACTATAGAACTAGTTGTTGTTCGCTCCTCCAATTTTATCCATTAGCATTTTTTTTTCACTTGACTAATTTTTAATATCTCAAGTATTAATGAGTAACTATTTCGTGTCCTTTGCTTTTTGCTTTCAAAATCATAACCCTATAGTAATTGAGACAATTTTTATTGGGATACGTAATATTCATACTTACTGCTTGTAGCAAAAGCGAAATAGCTTTCAGTGGACATCAATGGCCGAATGATATAATGAATGCAAATGTTACTATTATATATACACTCTGATGGAAACAATTTTTAAAGAGCTTAAAGGGAAATTTTAGCATTCTTCCACTTTCCAAAATAAAAGACTAATAATTTATCAGAATACATGAAGATTTTTTCTTTTTTAATGGAAGTTGAAGATAAATTGAAAGTTAGTTCTGAGCTTCCAAGAAGGGCCAAAAACTTATAGAGCAAAAAAGACGAAATCAGTCGGGAAATTAACTGCGTCTTTTGGCTTCACTTTCCACTGAACGACCATCATCGAATGGTAGAAGGCATTGAACTGGTGAAAAAAAACAGTTCCGTAAATTGTTGCTTCGTTGTTTCTTTAAATGGATCAGTTTCAATTCTCTTGCAAATAGTGAAGATGGATCAATGTCAAATAATCTGTAAGACGTATAATTTGTTTCAAACAATGAATTTGCATGATAATTTAGGGAACTTTTATTTAGAGTCCTAAGAATTTTCAACTGAAGTGAAATTAGTCATAACTCGTATGAGTGGCGATATTCTCGTGAGCTCCCGCTTACCCTTCTTTTGAGTCTGGAATGTTCAAGTTTAATTTCGTTGGTGTTAATTTAAAAGGAGACAATTTTTCATTTTTTCTTGAATAAGGGACTTGATGGAATTAAAACAGCAGACCTGCCATGAATAATATGTGTTAAGAGTGTTGCATGATTGCAGATAGGAAAGCATAGCAGGAATACTGCTGATAGGAAAATTGGCGAAGTTTGTTTCCGTAAAGCAAGTACCATGCGAAAATGAATATATCATAGCTTGAGTAACAACCGCTCGCAGAAATCATATGAAAACTCTCGCCCACGTAACGTAAATAAGCACAAATGCACGTGAGTGCTTGTGAAATATACACAAATATGCTTCATTTAATGCGCTTATTCAATTGAAAAGATTACTGAAGCATCCCAGAAAAAGATTCGTTTACAGATTAATCTAAACTTCTGACTTCTTTTGGGAACTAGGATAGAATTATTTTCCATGGTTGATATGTACTATCTTTAAAAAACGCATAACGATTTTTTGAATTTTTAAATATCAAAGAGGCATAATTTCTAGCCCCAGCAAAACGAGCTCAACAATAAATTCAACAGTTTGAAATGACTGATTATCTATCAGCTCTTAACCATCAAAGTTTTATTTTATATGGAATAATCATAAGGTCTCCTCACTATCTAATTTAATCAAATTTTTAAAGTTCTCATTGTTCATAGTTTCACTCAAAGGTAAAAGTCTATATTTTAACGTTCTATGCGATCCTAAAAGAATGACGTATTTAGGTAACGCATTAACAAACTGTAGACTTTAGTAATGTTAAAAAAAACCATTTGGTATCCTTGGACGTGATTATTACAGTGTTTTTTAAGGGATAACGTTACTCCTTCGTACCATAGTCAACCGATTAGCTAGGTATTGTCTAAACGGTGCATTTATCGACTACCATTATATTATGATTTCGACTTATTTCCATCATGTTATTGCTACATGGAAGAAATCAATGTAAATTTTATGCTGAATATTTAAATTATTGTCCAAACAGGAAACAATATAGTAATCTTTTGCAGTGTTGTATTTATGAAGTGAAAATTATTTACAAATCATGAGCGCTATTATCAAATAATAATACTCTTTAAATACGAATAACTTTTCAAGGAAAGTTCATCTACAATTCTTTCACAAAGTTTTAAAGAAAACCTAAAAATAGACTATATTTGAAACTACTGATAAAAATGGAATTACTAATTAGAAAAGTAACATGAAGCGTAAAAGATTAGCAGCTGAAACTTGGCATTACAATAATTAATTACGGATGGATTACTTAACAACAGATGATAAATTGATTTGATTATCCACTACTTACGCTCAAATGGATCGATGTGTTAATTTACCGCTCTGCTTATATTTCTAAATAGTATCTCATCACTACTAATAAACCAAACTAAGAATAATTGCTTATACATCCATACCGTGCTTTAATTTCAGTGTGTTTACTGTGAAATAGGGTAAAATTAGCATTCGATCGAATTAACATTTAGCACCGATCTGAGTTGTAAACAAATTAACTGCAAAACATGGGTCATAAAAGCGCTCTTGAAGAGATATATAATATATAAACTGAAATTAATAAAACTGTAGTACGGAAAGACCCGAATTCGGTTCAGGAAATTACATGATTCGTTATTCGTAGATACTTTTATTTGTAGATAGATAGTGTTGCTAAGCTGTCAAATCGTCAGGTTAATTATTTGGAGAAGAGTGTGAGTCCACTTCAATGATTTGTTTTTTTTTTTTCACAGTTTCATGCTTCCGGAATTTTAAACATGACGTCATCCGCTATGCTACTCTAAATTCACTTTAACGGTATATCCAATTACTACCTCAATGCAAAAATATATCACAGATTTGTTGCTTTTGATAACTTTTAATATATCTGTTAATGTTTCACATGAAATATAAAGCTTAATTGGCAAAAACATAGAAATTTGATGCGGACGAATGTAACCTAAAATATTCATTTGAGATGAATTCTTCTTTACCTTGGTAGTTCGTTTTCTGTATTTAAGATGCTTAATTAAGAAGGAATAACCCTACTCCTTCTTCGAGAAGAAAAGAGAAAATGAGGAGTTAAGTCGTTCTGCAGACTTATTTCGTTTGGATAAAAAGCATGCATTTAAGCAGGCTGAGAAAAGATATCTGAACAGTTTTCAAGGTCATTTTGAATTAGAAAACATAATGTATCACAGGAAAAATCAGTCGATAAAGTACATTTCCGTTTTCCTTACTGTACAATTCTCTCTTAGTCTTTCTTAGATAAAAAAATATAATTCTGTCACCGCTTGTTTAGATACAAACTGAAGTTGTAAAGACCAAAAAGTTGGGTACCTTAGTCTTCTCACCACTCGTCTACGGACAGGATTTCCCTTCCTTCTCATTGGTATCTGATAAAACGAGTGCTTAGTCATATGAGGATATTTTGAGAGACCAATCTTGTAGTTGCATTTAATTTTAAAAATAGCAAACCTTACTTAAATGTTTTTGCAATGCAATAAATGTCACTGGAAAGGACTTCCACCTAACCTAACCTAAGTTGTTTAAAAGGACTCACTGAAACAAACAGAACAGAGTTCTGCAAACTTAGATCCATTAGGAATCGCCTGTTCGAAAATTCTAAGATTTTTCAACTCCGCTCTAAATAAGTCTACAACAGCAAAAAAAAGGAGGCGTGGGGCAGAATTTAAATCTGCATGACCAGTAAGCGAAGGAAAACTCAACGCAAAAGTCACCTTGAGAGATAATTTCACCGTCACTTTATGAAGATTTTTCGACCGCCTTATTTATGTAACAGTTAAAGCATAGCTCATATTTCCGGTGTTTAACAGAAACTGAGCAATGCTCATTGCAGCAAACCCCACCTTATTTTATATTTGTTAAAAGTGATGTCGCTCAACAGTGACAGGATGATGAAAGAGGTGAAAACAAAGAGCATCATTTTATTTTATACTGTTTATCCTGAAATGCACAATTTCACTGCAATTTTGTTTAGAATAACTACACTAATCGATGATACAACTAAAAATTCATTAAAGTTAAATATATGTTTGACAGGAACATGTTATTTTCCTACAGAATTTAAGACAATTATACAGTAATGTAAACTGATGAAAGTTCTATTTCTAGGCTCCAAATCACAACAGAAAACTAAAAATACAAACGACGAATCGCTCTGAAATTGAGAGCAAAGTTCAGACTGAATAGCTAACTCTGTCTAACCACCAAACCATGTCTTACTTAGAAATAGCTATCAGAGTTCCCTTGCAAATAAAATCCAATGAAAAAAAAAAAATCTGGAAGTGATTTCTTGGTGATCCTATTCAAGTTAAAAATTTTCTGGAAATCTATTCATTAAAATGAAGACCCAACATTCAATAATAAGATTCCATATCTCTGAAATTCTGCATTCCGGTAAACTATGGATTTGACAAATTTTTAGAAAAGATGTAGTAATTGAAAATTTGAATTTTTGTTGGAGAAACTTATATTCTATGCAAAATCTGATGCCTAAAATTAGTTCTTTAATCCAAACTCTTTTCTTCACTCGAATTATAGAAAGTTTGTGAAGCAAGAATGTACTGAAATATTTTTATAGTTTTGCGCAAAAATTTGTATAAATGCATGAGAAAATATAATGCACAACGCACAGAAATTTTACTAGAAAAGTGTGCTTTTTTTTTTTTTTCGGAAATGATATAAAAATAAACAAATTTTTACCGTCAAATTCTTCCAGTTTTTTAATGCAGGTAAGTATGTGAGTATACGATAAATTACTTGTTGTCATAGGTAGGTTGTCCGACTAACTCTTAAATTTACTAAAAAATTGAAACGTTAAAATTTTGCATATTTGAAAATTTTGATTGGATTTATAAAATGGCTGTATACTTTTGTTCAGTGGTAACGGTTCATTTTTATTAGGAGCATAAAAATGTAAGGCTGTTTTTCTATTATTAGGAGTATGACAATGTAATGCTGAATTTATACCTTGGTAAAATTAGGCTTTAAGCAAAATTTGCACTGTTTGCTATGCGTCGCGGATAATACTATTTCACTTACTGCAAAGTATGTGATTTTTTTTTTTCTAAATGTTAAAGTGTGTAGTAGAAGTAAACTGGTCTTTCTCCTTGATCTTGAGCAAATTCTAAATATTGAAGAAAGAACATTTTTGAAGTTGAGTGATTTAAATAAAAAATGATTTAAAGCAATTTTTTGAAATAACTTAAAAGTGGTTCATAGCAGTTCAGGAGTAATAAAAGAAGTAATCTTTCAGGTCGATAATTATAGTGGCATCTATATTTTTCGTCATAACTATTACTGTTATTATAATATGTTATTGTATACGACGAAAGTATTTTTTTATTTCAATTTTGCTTGTAAAATACCTAATATTTTAACAGAAACAAATTTTAATTGCTTTGTGTCTATGTTAATATTTTGGTAAATCAATTCAATTAATTCACACAAAATATTATACCAGTCAAACATCTTCCGATCTCAAACATCTCATTTACAGTATCCGTTCAATTTCAATTTTTCAATCAGCATCTTTTACAGTATTCTTTCGGCTACCGTATCATCTCCATAAGATATTTTCAAGTGCTAGTACAATCATGTTAAATTAGGTTTCCTTCGTGATCTCTGCTAGTTTCAGTCGAATTACAGCATAAAATTGCTTCATTAAGATTGCTATTCAAAAAAACACAAATTTTAATCGTAAATACATAGATATGATTACGATAACAATCCATCTACAATCTTTAAAAAAAAATTTCACACTTAAATAAGTAGTCGTAATCCCAAAACGTTCGTTTGCTCTCTGGTAATTTTTCATATCATTTCAAATTAAAATTTCTCATTTTTTTTTTTGATTTCAAATTTTTTCTATTTTTGTTTCAATTTATCTCTTAAATATTTTCAATTTTAATTAAGTCTTCAGCTATTCGCTACTATCATTTGACACATCTAATACACTATCAGCTCCTTCCATACCACAACAATCTGCACCACGGACAATTTCTTCAGTTATAACAAAGAAAACAACCGGAGAACAACTATGTCAGGTTTGTCTTGCTGTTGCCTCAAACGGATCGCATTATGGAGCAAAAACATGCGCTGCATGTGCTGTATTTTTCAGATTAACTTTTTTTTTTTTGCTAATAATAATTTAGCAAAATATAATTATTATTTTGTCCAATTTTTCTAAACAATTCAATTTTTTTTATTCGCCATATTTCATAATATCAATTTTTTGATTTCATATTCAATTTTCCTTTCTTTGTTCAAAATATTTGATTGTATCAGTTATAAATACTTAATGTTTTTAAATTTTAGCTTAATATTTTATTTTTCTTATACTTTGTCTTATTCATTTTTCTAAATTAACATCGCATACAGTAAGATGAAGTTACTATGCCTAGTGCTAGACTTTTGTATCATTTCAATTTCAATGACATATTGTCAAGTTTTAAATTGCTGTCTAATTTTAGAATTTCATTTTCGAAAATAATACTAATTTATTATTTGATCTTCATTATACTGAAGAAATTCAGAGCATTAATGTTTATTTCAGACGAACAGTTCGCGACGAAAAAAACTACATTTGCGAGCGATCACAGTGTTGCGATGTAAAGTTAAACTACGGTATGTACGATGAGAATGACGGTGATGATGATGATAATGTTTAATCACTATGACATATTTTTGAAATAATATTGTTAAAATAATTTTTTAATCAAATCTTAATTTTCCAAGTAATTTTTTTTTGAAGGGAGCACTGGCTATCGAAAGATATGCCGTAGCTGTCGCATGAAACGATGTCTTCATATTGGCATGCTTCCAGAAAGTAAGCAACTTTGTAAATAATTCAAATTTTTATATAATTTTTCAATTTTTCAATAATCCAAAAGTCATTACATTATTACCGTAGTTTTCGTGATAAAGGCAAAAAAAAGTAAACAAATGGATATCAAAAACCGGTAAAAAATTTTTGTTGTTAACAAACTAAAAAAGTAAACAAATGTCTAAATAATAATCAAAAAAAAAAGGTAGTTAAGAAAGGTAGTTATCTAGTAGCGAAAATCTCTAACTATTCGTTTGAATATTTAAATCAACATAAATTAAAGATTAAATGAATTTTTGAAAAGAAAATTTTTATACTTTTTATGTCACTCCCTTTTTCATATCTTTATTCCTCCTTCTTCATCGTTCTCTTCCTCCGCTCATACTAAAGTATATTTCGATCTGATTACCTAAATTATTTCAAGCTAAGTTTAGTTGTAATTTAAGAACAATTACGTTCGCTTAATTTTATTTATTTATTTATTTTATTTATTTATTAATTTTTTTTTGCTTTCAGATGTACAAAATAAAGGGCAGAGGAAAGAATATAATAGAATCAAATAATGTTATCATCAATAAAATCGAATAATGTTATCATTGATTGATTAATATGAATAAATACTAATTTATATCTCTCACGCATTTTTCATTTCAAATAAATGAAAAAAAGAAAGGAACCGTACCATTTAATACTGCTAAGATAGCAAGAGCTATGTCAATCCATGAAAAAGTTGATGCCCATTGATCAATTGGCTTCCAAGCTACGTGATACCAACGTAGCGAAGCCAAAATACTGTCAGTAATAGTTGCAAGATTCATAATTAGCATAATGCATAAGCCCAGACAATATATGAAAGCTGGCCAATACAAATGAAGTGTACGAAGCATAAATAAGCCAGATATTGAAACTATCTGAATAATGGAATAAATTGTATTAAGATTTTATTGTACTATTTCTTAATGATTAAATTTATCTTGAAAAAATACATAAATTTGTTATTTCAACTACAATATTAAACCATTTTTTTAAATTTCAGTTCTAGTATAACAAAAATTTTAAAAAGACAAAATTTTAACAACTTAAGGAAATTGTAAATTACACATAGTAGTTTTAACTGAAGAAAAAAGCTCTGTTTCATCAGTTTAATCTGAAATGTTACAAATTACCAAACGATATATTACTTTGATAACTGTAATTGCCCTGTTCTTAAATTTTCAAAATTATTTAAATTATAATTTATTTTATAAAATTCCAAAAGAAATTTTATTTTGAAAAATCGTTCAGAATTCTTTGTTAAAAAAATTTATTTCTCCCTATTTACAAGGCAATTAACAATTATAACAAAAGGGTATTTAACAAAATTCAAAAAAATTTTTCTAAGAAATTTTTTTTGTAAAACAAGAAAAAATTTAACACAAAAAGACGTAAAAAATTTGCTAACCAAATTGAGTAATGGAATCCATATATTAGTACCATCAGTACAGTTTACTTCATCATACATTATGCTATATTGTAATCCAAGGCAAAAGCAGAATATTCCGACGATAAATAATGTTGTAGCCAAGAAAAAATGGCCATAAATTAATCGGGTAAATATTGCCCATGGCTTTGTGGGAATATTTAGCAGTGAGCATGCATTAATTTTCTAATAAATAATGATAAATATTATTTATTTTGTAACAAACGTTAATAATAATTAATTTTCAAAAATTGCTTTATAGACAGAAAAAAGGGTAACAAAACATTTTTTCATTTTTACTATTTCATAAATGAAGAAAAAATGGAAGAAAACTTATGTGTTTTACACTTCATTTTAACATAATACTAGTTGCATCACTTAAATATAATAAAGAAAATGTTAATCAAATGAAATCAGTTGATTTTGATATATTTTTATATCAAAAAGAAATCAAAAAAAAAAAAAAAAAGTTAACGAAATTATTTACCTCATCAAGGCTAAGAGCAACATGCGTAAATTTATTATTCAAATTTTCAAACATTTTTCAATAAAATCGAATAATGTTATCATCAATTTGTTCTACATTTATCATAATTTTAACAAAAAATGTTACAAATTATCAAATGATATATTACTCTGATAACTGAAATAAATAAAATACTATTTTTTTTTTGAAATAAATATAATATTTTTAGGTTTTTATGTCAATTATAATTTGTTGTCTAAATTTTGAATTTTATTCCCTTTTTATGATATAATAATTAAGATAAAGCAATTTCATTTAAAGTTTTTCAAATGTGTTAAATGTCAATAAAATTACTCTAATCGTTAATTTTTTTGATAAATAATTTTTGTTGCAATTTCAATGAAAAAAAAAAAAACAAAAACAAAAGGAGATTCACAATAGAAGTTTCAATAAATTTCTTAACTTTATCTATTTCTGGTAAATTTTTTCCATTTTTACTTGAAAACTTTCGAATAAACTTATATGGTTGTTTAGACTGGATATTTTAATTATACAGTTAAAGCTTTAATTATACAATCAAAAATTAACTACAAAATTACCTGTGTTAATTTTATTTAATTTACTACGAATGATTGCATAAATTTATCAGTTTTAATATTTACAAACTAATTAATTAATCAGCTCTATTATCTCTAACATTATTAATGCCCTTATATTCATAAGCTTATTAGTTTTATCCACAAACTCATTTCAAAATATATTTAAAAAAAAATCGAAACCAAAAATTGCTTTAATGTTTTTTTGCGTTTGATAGAAAAGGAAAAAAAAATTGAAACTGAGATAGAAAGCATTGCAAAAATGCAATAATTGATAAGAAAAGAGAAATCAATTTAACTGTTTAATTTAATAATAACTGAGAATGATTCAGATGTTTTTGTTGTTGATAAAAATTTTGATACAAATATAATTAATCACAAAAATCAATTATTCCCCTATATTTTTACTCTTAAAAATATGCTTCTAATTATTATATCATCAAATTAATTAGCATTCCAAACTTATCAAATATATCAAAAAAATAACTAATCACTTTTAAGTGAACAAAGCAACAAAAACTACGTTGCATTATTCACCGGTTTTATTCTCTCACCTGAATTGCAACCTGAAAAATTCATCAGAAATATCAGCTGGAGTGCAGTCTGGAAATTTTACTGGAATATATGATTGCTCATTTTAGAACTATTCATGTTACCATTTAATCGGAATCAACACTTTAATCCATCTTAAATACGAAAACAATATTTTTAATAAGTAAACAGTTTGCAACAAATAAATGAAATGAATATTTTACAGTTTAAATTTTCAAATCGAACAATTTTCCTAGTTAATAAATTATCGTGGATTTTTATGTATAATAATAATAATAATTACCGCACAAACAATTTTATTTCTTATGAAAATAATTTTGTTTTTATTATTTTCCTCTTTTCTTTTCTAAGAAAACGCTAACTTTTTGTTAAAAATGAATAAATATTAGTGTTTTCTACTAGTAAATATTGCAAATAATATTCAAAAAATCAAAAAATGAAATTAAAATTAAAAAATTCTTTTTTCGTGACAAAGTATGGAACAAAAATTTTAACAAATATAAATGGAAGGATCGTGAAAATTAAGAAGTGAAAAAAAAAAAGAAGAATGAAAGCATTTTTAAATGCAAATGTAACTTTATTTTACTTTTGAGCACAATAAATAACAAAGTTAAAAAAGAATTCAAAAACAAATTGGGAAAAGTTGAAGAGAAAAGTGCAAAATAAATTTTTTCGAATTGCAAACGATTATAATATTTATATTCAATTTATTGATGAAAAAAAAAAAAATGTCAAACTGAAGAATTTTTTGAATGCAGGAATGAAATGAAATAAAAGAAACTATCAACATGCATACCCAATTACATTACTCTGACAATTGAATAAGCTTTTATAAAAAATAAAAAAAAAAAAAAAAAGGAAATAACTTCTCAGTTATTCAGTGATAATTTCTTCAACGATAATTTGTGTTCTATAAGTAATTTCTGTTTTCTTTGCTAGGAAGCATGATTAATATAAAAAATAAATGTAACAAAATTCTAACCTAAAAAGTAATTTCAGTGTTGTTTGAATATTAAAATACTATTTCCTACAACGAAAAAAAAGGTCCGCTAGTGTTTTTATTTAATGAAACATCAGAATATTTTAGAGAAAAGATAGAGGAAGATAATATGATACCTTTTTCAAATCAATAAGAAGTAATGAAAAATTGGTTCTTTTGATTAAAAATTTAAAAGTTGAAAAAAAGGCAAATAACTGTTCTTTACTATTATGCTACAAAAGTCTTAGAAAAATTGTGAAGGTTCAATTTATATGCTATTGTCAAATTTTACATTTTTTGAGTGCTGAAATTATCTGATAAATTTTAAAAGTGCAAAAGCGTCAATAGCTGCAACTATCTGTGCACACATTCAAAACTAAATTTTTTAACCTTTTTTCTTCTCGTTGAATTGTAACAAAACAAAAAAATGGAAAAAATTTCAAACTAAAAATCTGGCAATAATCTTTTTCCACATTTTCTTGAAAACATTTAGAAACTAACTAATATTTTCCTTCTTATCATTATTAACTCTTTGTTTATTATAATCGTTACCATTACTATTGTTACTATCACCATTGCAATAACTAAAGATTGAATAAGGGAAAAAAGCAAAGAGAATGTTAAAAGAAAATATTGAAATTACCATTAATTATTATATATCAATAAAATAGACGCAGCGCTTATAGTAGTGATGGTGAATGAATAATGATAATAACTTAACTAAAAAAAAATTGTAAGAATTTTTAATTTCAGAATTTTTCATTTTTACTAACTTAAATTTAATATATATAGCACAAATTAAGCATCCGTTTCATTAATTGGGTAATTTGAAGCTTAATTAGATAAGTTTAAAATTAACAGTCATGCTAATAAATTTCATAAGCAAAATTTTGTTTCGGTTTTATTTAACAGGGTTTTTTCAACAAATTTTCCCATAATTTTGCTTGATAAAATTAATTGGCTAGGAAATTTATTCATATTGATTGGTTAGTAAAGGAAAGAGAGAAAACAAATAAAATCCAACATGGAATTTGTTGAAATAATTTTCTTAATTCTTATGAAAATGGAATTTTGAAATATTGAATGTGAATTCAAGAAATTTCAATAATGACATATTATTTGTCATAAAATATAAAAGAAAAAACAAATTGGAAGAAAAATTGCATTTGAAAAACGAGCAAGCAAAATGGAATGTTGTTGCTCAGAAAATTTTTGAAAGAAATTCATTTGCTTTCATGTTTTTAGATAAAATGAAATTGAGATGAAAATAAAGGTAGAAATAAAAGTGAAATAAAAGAGAATGATGGATGAAATGAAATGGAAATGAGACAAAATGGAGAGCAAAAAAATGAAATAACTGTAAAATAGTTTTTAGCAAACTATTAAATCAAATAATGGCAAATTGGCAGTGTGTTATTTCAGATTTATTGTTTAGCACACAAATAATTTTACTCAAATTGAATGAATAAGGAAGTTTTTTAAGTAAAAGTTAATTTTTACAACTTGGTCATTAGGAAAAATTTTGCAACGATATAAGTGTTAATTGGTTAAATAGTTGATATTTGATGAATAGTTAACATTCTGTATTTAATTAATCCTCAATTGCTTGATAGGTAGCGAACGCCATGGTCAACTTTAACGCTTCTTAATTAGCTAATTAAGTTTAATCAATTCAATCAATGGACCAACTGGTCGATTGCTGCTGTTGGCTAACCTAACTGATAGTAGCTGATAAAAACTGATTAGCTGATAGTTACCGATTGATTGCTTAATATTTATTTACTTCATAATTATTGCTTGCTGATTATTGAAACTTATTAATCAATTTGATATTGATTGATTTATTGATATTGCATTATTTCAGTATTGGTTAGTTGGGGCTCATCACTTATTTAATAGGTTATAAACAGCAAATTCATTCAATTTAACTAGCAAAATTAACTTAAATAATAGAAAATTTAAATCTAACTAACTTAAGAACTAAAACGTAAAAATTTTTAGTTAGCTACGTTTAGATGCTGTCTCTTATTCAATTCATATAATAGTAGATACAGTTCAATAATAATACATACGGATTCAATACCGTATATGAATTTTTGTTGATTCAAGCATATTTTATTTCAGAAGTTAAAGTATTTTAATTGAGAAAGAATGCTTACTTATGCTTTATGTTTGCAGTTACTATATAAACTATAAATGACAGTAACTTTATTTTATGAATTGTTTAATTTTTATATAATAATTGCATAAAATGAATTTTATCTTCGAAATGTAGTTTTGAGCAAAGCTTATTTAATCCTTTTTACGATATATTATTGTCCATTCATTGCAGGCTTGTTTTATCTTTACCTTTTTCTATTGCTTGGCTCATAATTCGATGTTTTACTCTGTGTTGTTAACAAGGATGGTATTTGAGTCGGTTTCAGTGCTGGATTTTGTGTTGACTTCGACTGTAAAGTTTGAGTCAACTTTAATTACCGATTTAGTAACCGAGTTAAGTAACTGGGATATAATAACTACGATTTCATTACCAAATTATTCAAATGATAAGTAATCAATGGTTCCAGGTTGTTTTCTGCAGATGTGTAAATAATTAATGGTTGGTTTGTTATTTTTTAATTATTGGTCACATGCAATTAAAGCAATCAAACAAAATTGTTTTGGGGGCAATTTTTAAACCACCTTTGCGATTACTGGTAGTTGTTTCTGCGGTTGCCGAGTTGAAACAGCAGGAGTTGTTGGTTGAATTTGTTTCTGAGATTGCTCAGTTGGGACAGATTGGGTTGGCTTCTGCGGTTGCAGTGTTGGAACAGTAGGAGTAGGAGCTGTTTGTACCGGTTGAACTTGTTTCTGTGGTTGCTGAGTTGGAACAACAGGAGCTGTTGGTACCGGTTGAATTTGTTTCTGAGATTGCTCAGTTGAGACAACGAGAACTCTCGGTGCCGAGTGGACTGGCTTCTGCGGTTGCAGTATTGGAACAGTAGGAGTAGGAGCTGTTTGTACTGGTTGGATTTGTTTCTGTGGTTGCTGAATTGGGACAGCAGGAGTTGTTGATACCGGTTGAATTTGTTTGTGCGGTTGCTGAATCCGGACAACAGGACCTTTTGGTACCGGTTGAATTTGCTTCTGCGTTTGCTGAGTTAGGACAGCAGCAGCTATTGGTATCTGTTGAAGTTGCTTCTGTGGTTGCTGAACGGGAGCAGCAGGAGTTATTGATACCGGTTGGATTTGTTTGTGCGGTTGCTGAATCGGGACAACAGGACCTTTTGGTACCGGTTGAATTTGCTTCTGTGATTGATGAGTTGGGACAGCAGGAGCAGTTGGTATTAGCTGGACTTGTTTCAACTGTCCTTGAACTATATCAGCAAGAGGTGCTGGTATCGGTTGAGTTGATTTCTCGATCTGTTGAACCGGAACAGCAGAAGGCGCTTGTTCAACTTTCGATGATTGCTTCTCATTCGCAAATATCTGCAACGGTTGTGGCTGCTTTTGTTCAATTTTTGGTGGTTCTAATCTTAACACTGCTGCACGTTCTATAACTTCCTGTACTGATTGTTTTGATTTTTGTGATGGTTCTTCTTTCTTCTCTTCTACTTTCATTATTGCTGCCTGATCATCAGTTCGTTCAGTTTCCGGTTGTGCTGTAATTTTCTGTTCTCTTGCAGCTTTTTTAGCTGCTAGCATAGCAGTATATTCATCGGAGAATTTTTCAGCTTTCTAGACAAAAAGTGAAGGATTAAATTAATTAATGGTTAATGTTAATATAATCATTTTGTAACAATTTTAAATTAAGTTCCACTTCTCAAACAAATTCGTTTAGTTCTACTTCAAATTTTAGTGTGTTTACTATTTCTACGTCAATTTTCTATGCTAACTATCACTAAAATGTTGCAATAAAAAAGAACGGAATGCCTCTTGTAATTCAGGTTTCGAATTGAATAATCCACATGCATCTGCATATGCAACCAAACATCGTACCACATATACAAGTTGTTCATCAGTTTGAATAGCACTCATAGCATAATTATATAAAATTATATAAAAATAAAGATTTATATAAAAATAAAGATTATTTAATAATTATATAAAAATAAAGATTATTTAATAAATAATTCATGTTTTAGCTTTAAAATTAACAATAATCCGCTGATAAAAAATTGCAATTCTTTAATTTTATTTTCATCCTAATAATTTTTAAAATTCTTATTTAAAATTAAAAAAAAAAGACAAAAGTAGGCAAAACAATTTATCGATTTAAACAATTTTCTTGTTATCAATTACATGTATGCTATAATTGATAATTCTTTTTTTCTTTCTTATGGAATATAAAAACATAAGTTTTTTGATATATAAAATGAAATATAAGTTAAAAAATAAAAATTTTTACTTTAGTATGGTTTCCTTTTTTTTTTAAAAAAAAATTTCATCATCATTTTCAAGTGCTTTGATAAGTGAAGTTTCTTTGAAAAAATGAGTTTTTTTAAATATTAAAGTATATGCAATAAAACATAATAAAAATTTGAGCTTAGAAAGATTAAGGTTGAATTTTCTATTTTGATACTAATTAATGTCACCACATACTAGATGTCTTTGGCATACTAAATGTACTTATTTCATTTGTAAAATTATTTTTGAAATTCTTGACAAAATCGTTGTGTAATTTTGTAAAATGTTAAATTTCAAAGAAAAAAGGAAGGACATACATCTTAATTTTTTAACCATATCAATAAGAAACAACGGTTTTCCGGATAGAATTTGTTGTAAACCCATTTCGATAGCAACTATGCAGCCGGTACGACCAATACCTGCTGAGCAATGAACAACCGTAGTACGATGCAGCGACTGTCGTACAATTCTTAATATCCGAAATGGAGCCAATACACTTGTTGGTACACCTTTATCAGGCCTTTAAGAATTTTTGAACTTAAGAACAAAAATCACCGTAAGTTGTAATAAAAAATTAAAAAAAAAAAGAACAATCATTCAATAATATATCATTTGATTTTTCTCTTTTTTTTGAAACTAATTTTTTCAAAAAAAAAAAGAGTAATATGTGTTTGATAGTTAATCGAATATTTTTATTTTCAGCTTGTAAAGTTGATATTATAAAGGTTGTATCCTTATTATCATTAACCTCAGAACATGATACTTGTATATCTGTAAATCTATTACGATAGCTTATCTATTGTGTCAATTACGGCAATAAAATCAATTAAATAATGTACCATAACAGCTCGTTTATTACCTAATTAATCATTTCCACTTTTAATATATTTATTTATTATTTATTTACACTATTGAAAAAAATAAATGGTAAATTAAAAATATATATAAAATAATATTATTGTATGTATTATATGATTTCATATACACAAAAATGAAACTAAATAAATCAATTAATCCACTTTCCTAAAAGAATTACTTTTTTTTTTCTGCATATGCTTTCTTCTAAAAAAAATCACTCTCATACGCTCTTCTAAAGAAATTATTTGTTAAAATATCTTTAAAAAATATGAATTTAATAAGAATAGGAGTGTTGCGCAATGGAAAAGTAATGACCATAAGTGGACACAATACGAAATAACTTTTGACCTTAGCTGTATTAACTGACTGTAGTAAAATAGCATTAATGGGCTATAAGATAGATCACAACCCAGAATTCATTGAAAAAATAGGTTGTAATAACCATATTTTGTTCAAGAATGTTCACTATTATCTTGTCTACTACTGTCCACCACATCTTATTCACGATTATCATATCTTGTCCGAAAACGTTTTACTTATAAATACTTATAAATGTCCACTATGTGCTATTCTGAAGATCTTTCTCTTTTTCATCTTTGAAGAAAAAAAGATGCAAAAAAAAATTTTTCTATCGAAATAAATAAGACGAAGAAAGGAAGATGAACTGTTCATATTTTTATCTTTTAATCTGAATAATATGCGATTAGTGCTTTTGTTCAAATTGATTTGAATGAATGAAAACGGAATTATGGTCAAAAGAAATCTATGATAATTATATATTAATTAACCTCCAAATGTAAGCGATGAGCCAACATCTTGTGGCCAGTATTGAAAGCATTTGTTTTTGCCACTTCAAGAATATTGCAGAGCATAATAATATTGCTTACTTTTTCTTGCATTATCATAATCCAGAAATCGTTTACTGTTATTTTCATTGGTCCCTTAATTAATTATTCGTCAATTACAAATGATGCTTATTTATTCTTCAACAATAAACTTACTTTGTAATTGCACTCTGAATAAATCAGCATATATTTTGATTGAAAAAATTTATTAATTAAAGAAATTCACTTTGCGAAAGTTAGGAGTAAAAATTTTCAAACATTTACCTTTTTTTTTTTTTAATGCAAAAATATGTGTTTTATTAATCCAAGAAAATATTTAAAATCGATTATTAAAGAAAATTATTAATGATAAATATAAAAAAGAAAATGTTCTTTTAAATTTCGGGAAATCAATTGAAATAGCTATTGCTTTACCTGAGTACAAATGAATGAGTTCAGGAATGGATCACCTTTAACGTGGTTTGCGTGAATATAGTCAGATTCTCCCTCCTGCAATACAACACGTGTCTTATCAATGCATATCACATCTGCAAATATATTTCGTTTTGTCAATATTTTATGGTCATTTTTTCTACTACCATAATCATCAGATTATATGATAACAGTACTTTGTTTACGGCTATCATATCAATATATATTAAATTGAACTGCTCAAGGAAATTTAGAAGTACACCTATTTTATTATCACTCTAATTACAATATAAGGAAACACAATCGAATCAAATCACTTCATCTCAAACATTTAAATCAATTACCTGCATCATTTATTAATAATTATTACAACAGCTAACAATTTACAAATACATTAAGCAAAAGTGCTACTTTTAAGTGTAAATGTATGCGTGAATTAATAACTGAATGCAAATTAGCATTACAGTTAATAGTTTACTAATAGTTTTTAATAATTATTATGGTGTAGCATTCATTAATTTTTATTAATGGCATTCAGCTAATAATTTTTTCATATACAGTTTTTTTTGTAATAATTTTTAAATTTAAAAAATCAAAAAAAAAAAATGCAATAAACCCTTATAACGATTTTTTTTCATATTTTTATCGAATGCTGTATGTGACATATCTGGTGGAATGTACGTTTTTAGATCAGCTTGATATTGCTTCACAATTCCATCCACACCAAGCTCAAACATTTCCTGATAAAATTAATGTAATCATAGTTTTAAAAATTTATATAAGATTTTTGTTAAAGAATATTTACTTATCAGCATTTAGTTATATGTAATTAACAATCATCATTAGTACATATTATATTATTCGTATTGCCCTAACTATCACAAATTATCATTCGCTATTTTTCATTGGTGGTATAAATTAGGCAATTTGAATATCATCTTTAAAATTAGAACACTGATTACAGCATTTTTTTTAAATCATTTTAATGATTTAGGAATTGAAAAGTTTAAATCTGTGTCATTTCATTTAAACTTCTGTAATTACCACTTGCTATAAAATTCATTAAAAGTTTGCTTATTAAAAAAAAATTAATTGTTGATATCGATTACCAATAAAAAATTTGAATAATTCTCTTTTTGTTCATCAGTAACCGGAAATTGCCTTAATTTTTTTTTCCTAGCTCTTATCGATTTTTCTTCCTGCAAATAAAAATCTCAAAATGGTTTCACAAAAAAAAAAAAGAATAACAACACAGATCATAGTTATTTATAATGCTACCCGAAAGTTACTCATATATAGAAATTACCTTGATAAATTTAAATAATTAGATGTATAACACACATTAACAGTAATATGTTAAAGAAAATAATAGAGAAAATATAATAGAAAAAAAATTCAATAATATGTCAAAGAAAATTCTGAGATACTGAACTCATCTATTTAATATAAAAGCAATTGTAATAAAGAAAATAAAATTGAAATGGAAAAAGAATGAAATGATTCGATACAATAAATTATTTTTTGCTATAAGTCTTAGTGATTTTTTTTTTTGAAAGCATATGCTAATGTTATTTAACGTATAAAAAAAAAGGAAAATATTTTAAAACAAACCGTATTTTTCTTTTTTTCTCGTTTACTTTTACTTTCGTTTAATTTTTCTTTTTTCTTCCTCTTTCGTTCTCGTTTACTTTTCAACGAAAATGTGTTAAAAAAATCATTTTTCTCAGCTCTACTTGACTTCTCATCATTACCTTTTGCTTTTCGCCTTTCTCGTTTACTTTTTGTCTCTAGAAGAGAAACAAAAAGTTTTTGTTTTGTTTTTTTTGAAATAAAATAAAGTATTTGAGAAAATTTTTTTTTTTTTCTTCCCATTTCATTAGTTAAAAACAAAAACTAATGCATTTAATTACAAACTGTAAAATTATTTGAATCATTCTTGTCATCGTTTTTATTTTGCAATTTAACAATAACTGAAAAAATTAAATAAAAGTTATGAAATTGCGAGGTTTTTTTTTTTTTAATAATTAAATTGACGAACTATCTGGTGCAGGTTCCTTTTTATTCACTGCTTCACTGCGTATCTCTTTTTGATGTAATCTCTGAAATTTCGTAGTAAAATTCTAGAAATCCCTTTTGATACACCATTTATATATATTCTCCTTGTCATTTAAAACACAAATTCCCTCTGGAAAAAAAAAACTCGAAAACTTTAATTATATTCCTTGTTTTTTATATCAAATTAGCCCAACACCAATATAATATTATAATCAAATTTGAGATTCAAATTAACTGATTATGTGTAATTTTAAGGAACACATTCCTACTTAGCATCAATAATTCAATTAATGGACTGTGTTGTAATATGAACCATATTTTGGAATTTTTCCATCATCGTTTTTCGGTAATCCATTTTTGATTAATTGATGCTGATTAGCAAATATGAAATCACTGAACAAGCCTCTTTGATATTGTAAAAATGAACAAATTACATCTGGTTTTTTATTAGGGAATTTTAATAAACCAATATATTTGTAATAATCTAAAGCAAATTTTGCATATAAATGTAAATATGTGTGCTGTAAAGTAGATACACTTATCACACGCAGTACAACAGAACATTGCTCAGTGTGAGCACTTCAAAAAGAGTTAATTTCGTTAAAAATCATTGCTAATGAAAAACGTATGTTTATTCTTACATCATATATATCACAATGGTATCGCTTGTTTGGTATAAAAAACCATAAATGGATTTCCACTGAAACTCATCAGCAACCAACTAAATAATTGAAATTGATAAAGAAAAAAAAATGTTTTTCAGTTTCACTGATACCAATCTCCATAAAATTGATCAAATTCACATCTTTTGGTCAAAACAGTTGTTGAACCAACTGTTAAGAACCACTGAGCTGCTGTTGCTGCCACTGCTACATACAAAGAATTAGCCATTATTCAGATATGTGATTCTTCCATTATTCCTTGCCAGTACAATCACCTCAAAATTTAACCAGTAAATCTGGACATTAGGATGACCAAATTAAAATAACCATGCTGGATGCTTATAATAATCACCAAAGTACAATCTACACTTTTTTGAATGGAAGATTAGGAAATACCTGTAATACTATTTCTGCAGCGCTATTCTAACAAGCAGGAAAAGATAGATAACCGATAGTGATAATGGAATTCGATAGTGATACCAAAAGAAAGTAGGAGGAACTGCGCAGATGGTGAATATGTAAGAAAAACCCTGATAAGCACAGTCAAGCTAGGTGATATCAAACCTTCAAACCAAACAAGCCCCAAATCTGTAAAACAAATGAATCCTATACAGTTCCTGCACACAACCATTTTCATGTTCAGATCAATCACTCGCTCAAGCAAAGTCTTTCTTCCCAACTTCTCAAGAATACCCACAATTTATACTATTTTATAACAAATTCGTAAAAAATTCCAATATGCTATCTTGTCTGTGTAGTTTTTTAACTTGTTGAATGTTCAAATAAAACTTTCTCTGATTTAAAACTTACCTAACATACACAGTTAAGGTTTATCCTTAGAAGCTGATGCAACTCTTTCCATAGCATTTAAACTATTCGCAGCTAAAGCTGCAGCTCGACGCCGAGCGGCAGAAGGTTGATATATTGCACGTTCTGGACGGTCCTAAAGTTAAGTTTGTATCGCAGAAACATTTTCAAAAAATAGTAAAAGTAAGAAAAATTAAAAGCCAGCTATTTGTTAAATTGCTCACCTTATTACGACGAGGCTTAGTAAAACTAATTTCAGTCTTTTCTTCCTTTTTCCCCTTGTCTGAGTTTCTTTCATCATTCTCGGCAGCTGTAGTTTTGTGCACTATTATTCGACTTGTTGCTCTCGAAACTCCACTATCTAGTTTGTCCGGTCTGGAAGTGTCCATTGTATTCAGTTGAAAGCAATTGTGCACAGAAAACTGGGAAAAAGTTGACATTGCACTAAATGTATCTCGAGCGTACATGCTTGGAATCATTCCGTTATTGCACCTTCATAATAAGATTTAAAAACAAAAGTGCAGAGTTTTGCAAATTTAAGATGCGCTTTTGCAAGATCATTAACGACTCCTTTTATTTTAAAAAACATGAATTGAGTAGTAGCTGCTATTCAGTGCATCAGTATTTCATGCATCGTTTATGACCACTTTTTTTCAATTTTTGAGTGACCTAGCTCACTTATGACTGCTTCCAGGCTGTTTCCTTTCATGATAACCATGGAGCATTCAGTGTTAATTTCTACCTAAGTTGAAATGCATCGATCGCGTTGTCAGTTCCATGAAAGAGTTGCAGCAATTTGCTTCTATGATTTACCCTACATTATAAAACCCTGTGCAAGTACAAGCACTAAACAAAAAAGATTGCAAATTAGAACATCAAAAAGACGTACGATGCTGCCTCAACAGTATCATTCGATGATACAGTCTTCTTGAAAATAGTCCTCCCCTCGTCTTTTTTTATCCTCTTCTCTCTTTCTAGTTCTTCAACTTTTTCGGCTTTAAAGCATTGATTTTCATCATTCTGCTTCGTTTTCTTCGAAAAAGGATCACTGCCAGCTGCAAATTTAAATTATGTCCCATATTTTGCACCTATTTACGATGCAAGTGCTGATATTCACACTATAAATTAATTACCTGACGCATCACGTCCTTTCTTCGACGACTGAATACATTTGTCACGGTCACTAATATCACACCATTTATTACTTTTTTCTATCGCACCATTATAGCTACAATCGCCGGTACGGTATGTTCGAATTTTTGTTCTGTGAAAATTTCCATCTTAATGATCTCCTAACCAATTATAATTCAGATGATATACATATGAACTCTTTTTAATATTCTCAATCCCAAACTTAAGAGAACATATGAAATAAAACCTGGAGTGTCGTATAGCTACTCTAATAAAACTATCACCATCAGATGCAAATATCAAGTCCACTCAAACCAAAAAATAATTAAACATATGTCAATGAATGTATTGCAAATTTACACTTTCTGTGTAAGTGTTAATGTGTTAACAACCTTTCTTTTTCTTTCACTGAACTTTCGTTGCTTCGTTCCAGCCTAGAGTTACGAAATTCAATCACTTTCTTTATGTCTTGCCATTCCTGTTTATCTTTCAATTCGTTTTCATTACGACGTTCCATCCGCTCACGCTTCTCCTCTTCACGAGCCCGTCGCTTTTCCTACAAGAAGCTTTTTAAAACTAATCATTCATGCTATAAAATTAGGATAGATGAATTATTCGAGCTTACGGAATATTATCATGAAAGGGAAAAATAAAAAATTTTTTGATGCTGAAAAATCAAAAATGTAAAAATTATTTGACAGATTTCCCAAGATGAAGGTCTTCGGCTACAAACACACTTGTGATCTAATTACAGGCCATGTATTTTCTTCATAGTTGAGAAAATGCCAAATTCTGTCATCAATTTAATGCCTCTGAATAAGGAAAAAACCATCGTAAGAGATAGAGAGGGACAACCTCAATGCGTCTGATACTTTTCCTGATTATGTACTGCGTTAGTGGTGTTTCCTGCACAGCATTCTCTGAAACATGCAATACATCGACGAAAATATATCAATATTCTCCACTTCAGTACTTTCTTGCTTATTTGCCAAGATTTCATACAATCTATGAAGGTTATTGAGCTGATTCAGATGTATATATAATTACTGAGGCAGTGGTTTTGCTGTATTTAGTAATGCACAAAAATTCATCATTTTATCGTCCCCTACTACAAACTCACTTGTAATCTAACTTGTGATATATTTGATTTCTTGAAAATTTGGTTAAATCTTGTCACTTTCAAATATATTTATTCACTTAAATATTTTCTAAAATGTATCTCATAAAATGATGAATTTTTGTGCATTACTAACTACAGCAAAACCACTGCCTCAGTAATTATATATACATCTGAATCAGCTCAATAACCTTCATAGATTGTATGAAATACAGTCAGAATATGCATTTAGGTACCTTACAAAATCTATGGCTTCTAGAGAGTCTCCTTTAAAGTACTAGGAACTCTTTCCCATCTCCCAGACATTTTTAACCCGAAAGATACTGCTAGAAACAGGTTGTAACCTAAAATTAACATTTTTAAATTTCAAACTAGAGATTTAAGGCTCACGATAATGTGACCCTACCAAAAATTTTTAAACAGATTTAGAAAAAAACTGTATTTGTTATTATTTCCTTCTACTTACCTTAATTATTCGATGTTTTTTCTACCTCTCTAGTTTTCATTTGCTGTTTACCCTCCTCTAATATGTAAAAATAAAAATAATTCCTAATGCTCTACCTGTTTTTCACTGAACTTTAAATTGCAATTAATAAGAAAATCAACAACATGAAATCGAAAACATCACTTTCGAGCATTTTTTCCTTTTCATCGATTTCTTTGATCAGTTGCTCCATTGGTATCGGATCTGGTTTTTGCAGATTTTCTCTTTCGCTCAAGAATTTTTTGTACTCATGATCTAAATTAATTTAGACCAATTATACTATGAAGACACTGAAACGAATGATGAAAACTGAAAAAAAAAAAAAAAAAACCTGCTTCTATAGTACCACATTTGAAATCACGTTCCTTGGCATCTTCCAATTTATCGTGTGGCACCTTTGGGTTTGGCGCAAGTTCGACAATACCAATAGACTCGCCTCCTAATATAGGGTGCAAGTAAGAGCAAAGTTTATGTTGAATACTTGATTTATTTCATAAGAGTTCCGCCAACTTTGAAGCATAAATGCTCACTACTTGTTACCAGCAATAATAAAAAACACTTCAATATAAGCAGGATAACTAGAGTGGGTAAAATTAACTCCTAAAACCCAGTTACTAATCATCAATTCGAAATTTCAATTTTGAAAATATAAGGAAGAATTTATCACCCTTATCATCAACAAAAACATATCCATGAAAACGTTCCTTGAATGCGATAGCATCATCATCCTTCTTGAAAACGAAATAGACTCTCGAAAATGATATTCCTTCGCTGGAAAATCAATCACATGAAACGGACAGTTCAGAAGCAATGAAACCAAACAAAAGATATTGTATTTCTCAAAAAAAAAAAAAAAAAAAAAAGCTGAAAAATTAGAAAAAATTACACAAAACAAAATTGGACAAAAAAAAAAAATTACAGAACACTAAAACCACTCTTCCATATCTGACGAAACGTTAATACAATTTCATGCTAGACAGAATAAAGCAATTTATAAGATTTTATCAGTAACAGCGCTGTTCCAATGAATAAATCCACAGGTGCACATCAAATTATTAAATCGTCACTAGCCATACAAAACCGAGCAAAAAATTAAGGGAAAATTACAAACAGCAGAGAATTTACGTAAAGACGAGAGGACCTTGATTTTGCAGCGACAAATTCAGAAAATTCGAATTCCGGAATTGGGCTCAGTTGAGTTTTTAACTGCTCCCATGTCATAGCTGCCGGCAGTCGACGTAAAACGATCTGAAAATTAACACTCAATAACGAAACGGTACAAAGATGAATCGAACAGAAGACTTCAATTAAGAAATTGGCCTAGGTTAACCTAATATTTTTCACCGCAGAAATTGCCTAGCCTTCTTACTTTGCACTTGGGAATTTTTTAAAACTCTCGAATTTGTTCAAAAAAATTGTTTCATGGAATTAGAATAAAAAAAATGCTTACCTTGAGCGGCATTTTCCGCCTGGCTTTTTCTTTTCCGGACGATATCGCGTATGACGTCGGCTTCGAAGAGTCATTTTTCATACTATAGTAACAACCAACTTCCTTTAAAGATCTCAAATTTCGAAATATTATACAATTCATGAAGATCGACTGGAAAAACATTCAACAAATCAACCATGAATCAATGACCTCAACCCAACTCAACTCACCTCAAAAAAATCTTCGAAAAATGCAAACACCACACCATAGAATAAGTTTTAAAACGGAATAACCCTGCCTCGCTTCAGAAAACTTAGAAACAATTTAAAGAAACTTTGATCTACACGCCCAACGATTGAAGTAATGTCAGTGCAGTGATCCCGATCACCGCTGCCCGTTTCACGGTTTATCAATAATGAAATCCAAATTCCACAACTACTGGGATTTGGTAAGCGAAAATCCGTTTAGAGAAAACAATCATTGCATATTCGCGACCAGATGATTAGGAAGCAGTCACGCACTGCATGAAATAACAACAGTAAAATCTGAATTACTAGAATTGAAATTCAGAGAGATAATGAGAACATATTTCGGGAAATATATGTGCAGTAATGGTAAAAACCATTTATGGCTAGAGGACTGAAAGTTATCTCTAGAAAATGTGAATAGCACTAAGTGTATGAAAGTTTTATCAATTTAATTCTCATAGAACAAATCAAGAAAAATAAGATTTGCACAAACTGTATATGTAAAGCATAGATATACAAAAAGTGACCTGGTACAACAAATCGAAGGTTAGTGTTTGAGCAAATCACCTCCAAGGAAATTGGAGGTGATTTGCTCAAACATCTTATTCATATTATACTTCACACATCATATACTCCTTTAAAAAATCAACTCCACACCTAAAAATAATTTCAACTCCCTTACATTAGCATTCTACTTTAAATTACTATAAATAACTGTTAACAAAAGTCACTCCCAACCAAGTAAATCATAACTGGAATCAAGACAAAATTATATTAACAACAAACAAATCTTACGGAAAGACCAATGAATAAGATATGAAGAATTATATGGAGTGTTAATAAATTATGATGTAATGATAAAGCAATGTTCAAATTTAACACTTGGATTTTCTCTCAAAATTTAATTTTTACCAACAGCTGATTTCGTTGCAGCAAGCTCTCGTAATAATTCATCTTCAGTGAAACTTTAACCTAGAAATTCGGAACCGTAAGATATCGTTTCAAATTTATGAAGATATTCTAACTTTTTCACTAATGAGTTTTCAACTCAAAATAACAAAGATTAATATAACAACAAATCCCATAAATTGTAAAATTTTAATGCCATGAGGCTATTAGAAAATAAAGTGAAGCATTAAAACATCTGTAGACAGAATCCAGAAAGAATCTCTGTCACATTGTAACATCAGTCGGTTACGAAAGGAATCAGTATTGAAAGAGAATCGATCAAGACAAACACAGTTATACTTATTTGGTTATAACTTACTCATACCTATAAAGTTTCATTCAAAGACTGCTGTGAATTAAGCTCGAAGAGATAATATCCAGCATAATATAAAATGTAGAGAGCATAACATTATGCTTTTCCTAAACATAATTGGCAATTTATAAAGTCCGGTAGGCAGAATTAGTTCTATACTGCTCCAGCGACTAATTTAAAATTTCTAAAGTAACAAAAGCAAACAATTTAGTATCTTGAAACGTTAGAGTCTCGAATTACAAAGCAATGATGAAGTTTCAATCTCATCTCTAATGTGAACAAAGCAAGGTGGAAATCTTTTGGAACAGAAAAAAGTAAATATGAAGAACTTTTAAAATAATTCACATTTTAAGCTCAGTAATAGATAAGAACTATGAAATATTAATAAAATGTTTTCAATGTAAGTTTCTCTTTTTTCGTTTTTTTTTTTTAAGAATCAAGACGTTCAATTTTGCAAAGATTGGTAAGTGCTGACTATTTTCACGTTTGTTTAAACAATAATTTTTAAACTCCCATGTAAAATAAATAATGTATGGTAACATATATAAAAAATACTGCATTAATGTCTTTATGAAAGAGGCAAGAACAAATAGAATAATTAATAAGGCAATAACCTGGAAATAAGATGTGGGGATTTAAATAAAAAAAATGGCACTTCATAGACAACTAAGTATTCAGATTGCGCATTTCATTAGTACGCTTCGTTCTTGGCACTTGCAAAACTAGTTGTTGAAGACGTTTCACAGCATGAAGCTGCATCCACAGTGTCCTCTTCCGCTTGCTCTTCATACTCTAATGGAGACGGGCTACGTGAAACAAGCGTTCTCAACCTACTACCAACAATCTGCAATTTATTAAAAAGCATATGAAATGAATCAACTTTATAGTAATTAAAAATTTTTTCCAGTGCAAAAAATCATTTTTGCCAATCTTGCCAAGTTTATGCAGTCATTGTCTGAGAAATTTTTTTTTTAGAAATTTATCTAGGAAGAAAAATATTTTATGCAAACAGTTCTCATAATGCATGAAATTATTCTTTACTACTTGGTGTTTCTACCTACCTCAAAACAATTTTGTGTTTCCAGAACTGTCAGAAATACCTATCTTTAGAAACGAAGTATGAGACTTCGCTCATTTCATTTTTCACAAAAACCTGATGTCGCCACTTTTTTTTTTTTAATATCGTTCTCACCTAAACGGTTACCATTTACCAAAAAAAAAGAAGCAAACACACATTAAAACCGATTCCGCCATCTTTTTGTAATGTTTCCAAGAAACCACGAATAAAGTCATCTTTTCTGTTACGCCATGTCTTTATAACTTCCAAACTTTTTTGTTTCAGTTGGTCAACCTGATTCTGCAGCTGATAACGTCTAGCCTGCAACACCCTATTAAATGACTGAAAGAAGTCAGAAATAAGTCAAAAAAGATATTAGCACAGAGTTATAGAATAATTATTTAAAGTGATATAGTTAACACAACTTACAGCAAGAAATCCAACATTGAGATCCTTAGCTGAATAACCACGTTGCAAATTACGGCGCACATAATTGTCGTAATCACGAATTATTCGACATACAACATCACTAGTTGAAACGCCTTCCGTCCGTTGCGTCTCAATAAACATACCTTCTCGCCGAAATTTCTCGTAAAGATCTGCATCACCAGGCGCAACATATGGTATCGCGTCGTGCGCTATAAAGTCAACCTAAAATATAAAAAGTTATTCAACGAAATAGAGTGAGTGAGATGTGATTAAAGGCGTGAGAAAAAGCAACCAGTAATACAACTTATGGTAGAAAATGATAGTCAAGTAAGCAAAATAGATAGGTTATTAACTACTATACCTTTAAGTGTTAAGTACAACTTTGAAAGTTACAAGGTCAAGTTACAAACTGCGAGAATGTAGTAGAAAGGGTCAATAAGTTTAAAAGTCTAAAAGTTAAAAAAGATTCACGGAGCAGTTGAAGTAGTCAAATTACCAAAAATACTACAAGACGAATACCTTCAGGTTTTTTAGAAACTCTACAGTGCAAAACCATGGAGCATTTCTGTAGACTTCATCAACGTAACGACAATGGCGTACACCTTCATATCTCTCATTTTCAGATGTTACTGTACGGCCCTTATATTTAAGAGTTTCCGCATCACCACATACTAAATATCAGCAATAAATTAAAGAAACATATAGGTGAAAAGGAAGATTACAAAAAAGAAAAGCTAGAAAGCCTAAAAAACCACAACAGCATCATACCTCCAACAATAAGATATACATTTGGAAAAGCACATTTTGCTTGAAGTAGTTGATTGGCATGACCATAATGAAAGAGATCATAGACACCGTCAGCAAAAACACGCACGGGGCGCCCAGCTGAAAAATTCTACCGCAATTTCCACGAACTTCAAGAAAAAAGAAGATGAAATTTTGATAAACTCATAATGAAAGCATAGAATAAATTAGGCAATTTCAGCGCAATGATTTCGAATAGGTAATTTGAAGTTCTGCATACTTTTTATTTTTTCTTCCGCTTCTAAAAATTGACACAGTGAATGGAATTAAATCAGTTGTAACTTAATTTCTATTCTGCTGTTCATTTACCTTTGCCGCTCCTCGCCATTTCAAGGGTAATTTTTTGCGAATAATCAATACATGCTCGTTGCGCAATGACTTCTGGATCGTCACTATACGGTGCTGGTTTTATTAACGCCAATCTGTTTGGTGACTCAACCGTGCCGTTCCTCTAAATATTCCAGTCCACTTCAGAGAGCTTCTTAATTCACTGAGATAACTAATCTCAGTTACTTCAATATTGAAATATCAACCACAAATAGTGCAATCATCGCCTGCATAAGATGTTTCACCTCGAAGGTTACTCTCAATTATTTCTCAAAGCATCTAGATATCATAGCAATTTTTTATAAAATAATAGCTCACCTCTGCTTTTGAGCATCTGGAAGAGTTGATATTATCAATATTCCGAGTTTTGCGAAATACTTCATTGTCAGGGTCAGAAGTTTTGATAATTCGTTTTCGATATTCCGTGGACATCTAAATCCTAGAGTTTTCTACTCGATGCTAAAATATATGTTATTAATATTTCATTTATAGTGGTAATCTTGACTTTTAATAAATCATTTCGTGTATCACGAATCCAAGTAAGAGACAAAGATTAAAAAGAAATCATATTTGCACATCGACCGAACAACCTCAACTGCAGTCAGGGAACCATCAACGTAGAAAATTTTCATCTAACCTTTAATTGGGAACCATCAGCGTAGAAAATTTTCATCTAACCTTTAATTGGGAACCATCAGCGTAGAAAATTTTCATCTAACCTTTAATTCAATGGTTCTTAGTTCACTGGACAAAATCTAACCCACACGGAACATCAATACAGTATGCGAATATTCTCTACAAGACACATCCTTGTTGTTGCACCTTTATTGAAAGGAAGGAAAATACGAAATTCTGTTTTGATGTTGGGTGAGGTGATGAAGTGGAAACAAATTGAACAAAAAAGTTCGGACTTTTTTGACTGAGATTTGGTCGATGCCGCGCGAAGCAACTTTTACGCGTTTCCCTTCTAAGCGACTATGTAGTCACTCTAAAATGATGAGAAAGAAATGAAAGTTTCGATACTAAAGGAAATAATGAGGTAAAAGTTTGTTAGGAAGGAACACGGGAATTGTAAGGTGTTCAACATTTCCAAAATCGCACACAACGCCACCTTCCACATGTGAACAACAAAGCAACTGCAACGCGAAAGAGAATTGCATAGGATCGAGTGACCGACTTTCCCTCCCATATGACATTCGAATATCCGAATGTGGCACCGTAAGAAGGAAAGGTCACTGCACTGCACTTCGTATTCCTATGGTCGTGTTGTTTTATAATGGTCGCTTCATTCTCGATCGATCCGTGCACTCAAGGCATGACAGTTCTTTGTTTGTAGTTGAACCATCATTGCAGAGTTATTTGATGATTTCATAAGAATTGAAATTACTTCTCCGTTTAAAAGAAAAAAAAAGTTCTTCAAGCAATAAACTCTTCGAAATTGTTATAAACACTCCCTTCAAATACTTCCAAACAATTTACAATAAGTCCGTTGTACAATGAAGATACGGAGTTTTGGAAATCTAATGGAAGACAATGAGGTTCAAATCACTTGTCATACTTGATAAAAAGTTCTATACATTGCCACTCACTCCTGAATAAATGGGTTATTTTAAATGGCTTAATTACAAAGCAAAATATACTATCTTCAGCACTGTAGATGAGCGATGATAAAAGAAATATAAGCAGAGAATTCTATCTTTGACAAATTCCTATTATCTCATTTAAAGCAAAATTGAAAAATCTTTTTCTATATATTTCAAAACTAAAACATTTCTTTATCTACGCTTGATTCAGTGATACCCGACAATTACTAGTTCTGGCATTTCAAACAGTGACTGTCAAGGAAATCTGTGGATATGAATCTGAGTTTCCTTTTTTTCCATTACACCCCTCCAACACAGTCTATACGTACACCTGCATCATCTGACTTCGGGAACCTGACTGGTAAAAATACACATATGCGTATGATATGATAAACAAGGAATCAGATAGCAGAATCGTAAAAAATATCAAATTACTAATTTTGAAGTTAATGAAACCCTTGTGTTACTCACATATTTTATACGTTGCATGCGTGATCTCTACAAAAACAGGAACTGAATCGAATGTAACATTTAATCTTCCATTAAACTGAACAATCTCGATCTACATTCCATCGCTCGTCTCACTGACAAGACAAGTTACATGAAAAAATCCCAACTACGTTTTCTGCTGATACTGATAATTTGCAAACTGTTTCGAGTTTCGAGGACCTTTGGTCACATAATTTGTCACTTTTTCAAAATGACCTTTTTTAAAGTGAGGATTCTAGAATTAGTTTGCAAAACTTTTTACATATACATATAACACAGCTCTTTAATTCCAAAACAGAAAGTTATCAATCACACGTTTAGTCGCAGTTTGCAAGCAGGCAATGCATAAACTTTCAAACTGTTAAACCCGATACTATATATAAAGCGATTAATCGTGAGCAAGGAAGTACTGAAGAGGACAGGACAGAAGCATAAAGCAGACAACAGGAATATTACATTAGCTATCAGCTTTTACAGTTGAGAACACGGCTAAAATTGAATAGAATGTAAGCAGCAAACAAACAACGGGAAGAAAAGAAGGAAATATCACAAAAATACAGGATTGATAAAACTTTTTGACCAAAAATTATACTGTATGAGTCACTTTTCTACACATTGAAATACCAAAACCACAAAAATTTTAATTTCCTAAAATAAATGCAAAACATAATTCAAAAATTCTTTTGAAATGTTTGGAAAAAAAAAAATCAGGCAGTTTTGCTGATCTGACGTATAATCAAAATATCATATTAGCACTTTAACTGTAACGATAGAACACCTAAGCTCAGCTGATTAATACAACATATGATAAAAAATAGCACGAAATTGAAAAAAAAATATAAATTAACCGGAAATGAAAGCGTGTGAACAAATGATGCTTACTCTCATACTGTACACTGTATTATTATATTAAAATATAAAAACTACGGCGAAGCAAAAGCAATAATTTAGCCGGGAGGAACCATTCTTACATTATCGTAAAGTGAACTCCTAGAAATACATTTACCAAATCCACCAATTCTGCTCAACTTACAATAATTCATTCACTACCAAATTACATTACTTTGAAGATAATGTGATCTAACTGACACAGTCTTATTAGACTAAGACATCACAAAGACTAAATGAAGCATAATAAAAAAATGAGACGGTTAATGAATAACCATAAATTTTTTTTCTGACAAGATCAGTTTTATCTTCATATCTGTTAATAAAAGAAAAAGAATATAAAATTTCGAAAATCAAACATAAATGTTGAACCTATTTTTACATGAGTTCCACACATTCTTAAAACAAATTTGAAAAAAATTTCTCAATCTCAAGGAAGTTAAAAATTTTTTTCAGCAGATTCCACACACACACACACACAAAAAAAAAAAAAAAATAGAGACTTTTTTTTTTTTAATTTGAGAAATTGTTCGGAACTAAACGTAATGTTTTCTGATTACATAAAACGAGTTTCAACTTTTTAACTTCGGCAAAACAGTAGTATAACGCGCTAATAGGTAATGAATTCGTTCATAACAGCTGAAAAAATACTGGATTTTTGTTCTTCGAAAAGATTTCCGCATCCTTTTATCAAGTAACCAAATCTGTGATGTTGCTATGCTTGAAAAGTACCTATTTAACCATTTTTTTAAACAACCATAGAAATGCTTCAAACTTTGGGAAGCAATACTATCACTTTGGATACTTGTTTTTGCACACCAGATTTGAATTTTTTTTGGAGTGAAAATCAGTTCCATAAAGAAGCAACTAAAAGTAATTAAAGTGAAGAAAAATGGGACAACCATTAAAAATCAGGCCTCAAATCGTCGTTAACTATTCGATAAACAATCACATATTCTGGATAGGCCTGCAAAAAATGTCCCCTTTTCCAAAAAGTGATAACGGATCTCATTTTTACAGTTTATCAAATTCGTCAGAGCACTATATTAAAATGGTTATTTAGATATTGATCAGTTTCCACTGGTAAGTAATATTTTTGAAAACCATTCAAAAAATTCAATAGTAGCTTTTCAACTTCAAAAAAAAAAAAATTACAATTTTGATCACATTCTCATTCCCAAATTCCCAAAATTCAAAGTCTATTCTCATAAACCATTCTTTTTAAATGCTCGATATCTAAATTAAGACATCTCCTGAGAATACTAAGTAGTAAAATTTAACTTACAAATTATAAAAGCATTACTCACTTGCTCTCCTCTATATATGACATATTCCGGATAATTTAAACCACCTGAGCGCGGTTGCCCCATCACTGAATGATGACCAGGTGGTGAATGTGCCATTTTGTTACAGGAACTCTATAAAGAGAGATATTTCAAATTATCTGGATGAAGGACATAAAAATACTGTTAAGCAATAAGCTAGGACAAAAGAAAATAACTACTAACTAATTCAATGTATACTAGAACAATGTATGCTTATTGTTGAGTGAGTTTATTTCGGTCAAAAATTAACAAAATAAAGAACAAACCAACCTGCATAAAACATCTTCCTAACGTCACTCGACAAAGTAATAAATGTCGTACACAGATATAACAAGAACGATCACGGTGAAGACTGCATCCACTGCCTGCCATACCAAATACATACTGATTACTTTTGCTCGAATGTTCCGCAAAATAAATACCTATAGAAGTTTTTGTGTAGTATACAAACATCAAAAGGACGACCATGGTGAAGACTGCATCCAATGCCTGTTATATCAAAACAAATACAAAACATAATGCATCCGATTAGCTTTATATATATATATATATATATATATATATATATATATATATTTATTTATTTATTTATTTAAATTAGATAAAACTTGCTTTTATAATCATTAACTCTTTAAGTTAAAAATCTTTCATTTATTAGCTCTTCAAATTTAGATAAATCCTAATTAACTCACCAGCACCAAACATACCACCCATATATGAATACCTTTCATCGAAACCTTTCTGTACAATGGAATGCACAAACGGTGATCCATGATACAAAAGTTTTTCATTATGCTCACCATAATTTTCTTCCGCTATATCTCCACGACGTCTTATATACCTTTGTAAAGAACATTACTTTGAAGATTACAGCTAACTCGAGAAAACGACTACTTTAAAAAACTGGGCCTTAAGAATTTGCATTCAATAATTTTTAATTATTTATTTAGATAGTCCGACTTTATAAATCGCTACTACCGGACATCTCCAAGTATCACTTAATCTTCATTAATTTATTCTGAAAGTCCTTTAATGTCTTCCATAATGATAAAGATTTATCACCTTTCATAAATTTTTTTGTTAATAATCTTCTGTACTTCAAGCACTTCAAACTTGGTGTACATTCCACCCAAGCCAAGATCTCGGTGTGAAACAATTGTAGAATTCAATGCTTTTTCAATTTGTTGGAATACTTCATTTGAAGGCTCAATCTGTACCAACACTGTACCTATTGATACTGGTACTTGAACATTACTCGGCGAATTCCTACTTTCGTTACCTAAATAAATATTTTAGGAATTATGTAACGAATGAAATTCCTATTAGATGAAATAATTGACGTAGATTAACGTAAAGCTGAAATGAAATAAATGGTTAATAAGTAACGATCGGGATATTTCAAATCACTACGACTACGGCTATCTCAATCTCTGCTTCAGTTCTCCAAATACTCTATTAAAAAATCTGACATAATAACATAGCTGGTAGATAATCATGCTGATAATGAGCTCTGAAGAAAACAAGAAAATATATCAGTTTTTAAATAATACCGTGAGCTATCGATTACATCTTGAACCATTTTCACATATATAATAATAATATCCAAAAAAACTCATAAGGTGAATTAAAAGTTATCAAGTTGGAGAAAAAAGATTATTATTTGATTTATATTTGACCATTCATTCTAATCCACATGCATTACCCTCACTTTTCCTTATACATTTCCCAATGTTCTTAAGCAATCGAAATCGAGTCCCGAAAGCATCAATTCCGATCGCTTTCAAATCATCATGTGTCATACTGGCCAAAACATCTAATGTAATTTTTTCCTTAGCAAATAAATTCGAAAGTGAACTAAGACCAATCGATCGTAAATAGTCTTCCATAGAAAACTTTGTCTCATTTTCATTATCTTCCTAAAAGTAGAATATTATATTAAACCTTAAGAAAATCTAAAAAACAATGTTGTAAAAACGAACGCAGCGAAATTTTTTCGTATGCATTAATTAGTGTCACAATGCTTGTCAAATTCAAAATTTCCAAGCCTATTATCACACTGTTGTGTATGCTTTCCATGCTCCATCGTTTAACTGAACTCAAATATAAACTATGCGATCTAACCAAACAACTGAATTGTTTAGTCAAAAAGAAGAAATGAAACATTTTTGAATGTTTGAACCTAAACTATGAATACTAAAATACAGCATATTAAAAATACTTTTTTTACATCAAACCATGAAACGAAACCTTTAACAAAAAACTTTGAAGCTGTTACTTTTTTTTTGTTTAGAAAACATCACTTTTTCACTCCCTAAATTTGTTTCTTGTCTCGAACAATTGACCGATTGCATGTCAACAACAGCATTATCCATAATCTCCCACACAAAAGATGAAATTGGTACATCAACCGCTGATCCACTTGTTTTACGCACAACATGAACAGCTGGTAATTCTCTCAGATCAACCGGGACTGCATTCTGAACAAAACAGCTCTTCAGATAATATGGAAAGTTAATAATAACACCAATTTTCCAACAAGCTGCTACTGAACCGAATATAGGTTTTAAAAATATAAGAATGACTACCATTAATAATTCCTTTGTGTCTTCCGTAACAGTAATATCCAGTGCAGTAAAACCTTCGCTATTTTTCAGCGTAACATCTGCGCCATTATTTAGAAGTAATGAACAAATTTGGGTGCGACCCTAAAATGACTGAATCTTCTAGCACATATTACCATTGATTCGCTTCTGTCCAATGATTTCTCATGCACGATAATTTCAGTGGATCATAAAAAGCAGATCAATAATTCCATAATATTCTGAAAAAAGCCAATATAGAAATATTGGAAAATCTTTCCAACAGCATTACTTTCTGAGCTGCTTCATGCAGAGGAGTATAACCCCATTTATCTGGATGATTCACTTCGGCTCCACATTCAATTAACAAAGCGGCAATTTCCAGATGTCCAAAACTGCTCGCATTGTGCAACGGTATCAGACCACCCTTATCTTTCAAATTAACTTCTGCACCATTTTCAAGCAAAAATCGCGCAACTTCCAGATTATTATAGCCAGCTGAAGCAAACCAATGTTTGGGAAGCTATAATTTTTACAAAACAAAATTATTTGCAAAAGACGGATTTTAGGATTTAGAAAACGTATGAAAACAGTATGAAATATCTTAGGCATTACAGCTAACAAAGAAATCCAAAAAATATATATATATACCATAAAAAACATGCTTTTTCTTTTAAGTTTCCGTCTTTTGCAAATAATTTGGCCAGTGCATTTTTCATAAAAGTTTTAAAATTCACTTTGCGAAAATAATACGAGAAAGTTGCCGCAACCTCACACCTTTTTTAAGACTTAAGGATATGTATAGTTTTTTTTTTTTTTGTGTGTGTGTTGTATTATAAATTTGATCCAATCATAGTCAATTTAAAATATACAAAAAGCTAACCGGACAAAATCTAAAAACTTTTATGAAAAAATTCACCGGCCAAATGCAGCGGCGTTGAAAAACGTCCCCCAACATCGCGACAATTCACTGTTGCTGGGATAACGATTTTCCGAATTTTTTCAATATCACCATGTTTGGCTGCCTCAAGCACCGCTGCGTCACCACGCAACAAATTATATACATCTTCTGCTCCTAAATATGCAAATAAGCTGCAAATTGACATCAGAGATGAGGATATTTGAAGGTTTTCATATATCTGCAAAAACTGCTTCCTACTTTAAATTAAAAGTTCGGAAAATTACTTATGAGAATTTCGAGATAATACCTTCTCTGACAACATCCAATGGAGTTTTTCCATCACGTCCTTTGCGCTTCGGGTCAGCACCATTAATAATAAGAAGTTTACAGACGTCAAATTTCCCCTTCAAAGCAGCTTCGTGTAAAGGAGTATATCCCCATTTATCGGTGGCATTTAGATTAGCACCATGCTAAAATTCTAATAGCTTAAAAAAAAACATACGCAATCCTTGCACATCAACTCTAGTATGGAAATAAGTTCAAATTGATATGCTCATTATGCTCTTAAAATCATGCATATATAAAAACAGTGATTATCACTTCATGAAATACGATTATCAAAAGTAAAGGTCATTTTGCTATCACTGTTTTAACGACAGCTATTTGGACAATGACAAGAACTCCAAACAAAAATAAAACAACTTTAATATAAAATGCGACTTTCAAAAAAGTTAATCAATACCAGAAATTCACCTTTACAAGTAATTCTGCAACAATCAAGTGACCGTATGCGCATGCATTATGCAACGGAACCAACCAACTGGAACGCAGAATAATGAAAAGCAAGAAACTTTAAAAATCTTTTCTTTTAGCTGTTTTGGTTTACAAAAATAATTGATACTGGATGGTAACCAATATTTAGTAGTTCAATTAAATAGCTAATAAATTAACAAATCTAATAACTAATAAATTAACAAAGAAACCAAATCAGAATCCCAAACCCTGTGTCTCTTGCTTCAACATTAGCACCCTTTCTCAACAAATACTTCAGTACTTCTACTCGATTATATCCAGCAGCAAAGTGTAAGGGTGTTGATTCACGACCATTAAAATCTTTACAGTTGATAATTCTCGTTCCACAGCTTCCAATTATGTGCTGTAAAATTTCTGTGAGACTAACATATTCAAAGTTAACACAAATCCTAAAATATAACGAACTGAAACATTTCTAGAAATTTAAAAAGTGTAACATCCACATGAAATCTAAAATGAGATCCATCATCTTAAAATGTACAATTCTTATGAAAACAATGATGCAAAACAAATAACCATTTCAATTATTAGTTGAAAAAAGAGGACAAATTTATATAATTTTGATCTCGTCTCACCAAACAGAAAAAACAAAACAAATAACAACCAGCCACATAAAAAGGTATAATAGAGCACATTAACCACTTACGACAAATCAGAAAATATATCTTACCTTTATCGTGCAAAGATCACCACATCTTGCAGCATCCAATAGTACTTCTTCTGAATATCTCGCTTGTGTTTCTCGTTGTAAGACATTGTGGCATACTTTCGGTGTTTCAATTTTATTTGATACCGTATTACCTCCAGAATCACTACCACGATTTCGGCTTTCGTGACAATATTTGTAGCCTTCTCTTTGCTTATGACAATGTTTTACACTTTTGTTCCCCTTTTAAAAAAATATTTGGAAATAATTAAAACATCCTCCTAATTTGGTTTGTCGATGACGGATTATACCATCTAGAGCTGAATTATATTGACCACATATGCATAACAATCCTAATATTATCGTAGTTTTAAGAAAAAACAAAGAATCTGAACCAGCAACATAAAAGTACGATGCAATTATGATTAATTGTATAATTAACCATCTACGACTAGAAACAACTAAAACAAGTATCAGGAACAGGAAAAACGATAAAGCTAACTCCTTTTCCAATATATTCCTACAAAAAAAAAAAAAAAAAAATAAACCAGTGAACGAAGCCAAACTAGAAAATAACTCGATTAATCAATTAAGGTGAAAACAAAAAGACAACAAAAAAGTGGAAATCAGGCCTTTCAGTATAGATTTTCTTCCCTGAAATATAGATATAAAATTAGATGCTTCATTACTCTGCAGCGTTTTTGTATGACGTTTATTTTTTCTTGGCTCCAACAATTGATAAGGTCTCTAATTTCAATATTTCTTGCAACATCAGCTGCCGTTTTTTGTTCATTATCTTTCAGATCAGTTAATATGCCATAGTTTAACAGCTGTCTGAAACAAATGTCCATCACTTCACTAAAAATTTCCATTACAGCAATCACTTATTCGGATGCAAAAAACCTGCTGGATTCCTGGGAAATAGGAAAAAGTAAATATGAATATGTTTTTTTTCCCTTACTGTTTCAAATTAATAGCTTCAGAAATCTGATATAAGAAAATAGACTTATATATAAAAGAAGTTCTTATGGAAAAATAAAAAATGTAACAACTGTCTCACTTGCACAAATCAAAATCCCCTTTTTCGGCTGCAATATGGAGTGCTGTCTTACCACAGCTACTTGGTTTACTAATATTAACACCATGACTTATCAGTACTTCCAATACATCGTATGAACATAGTTTTGTTGCAATATGCAGCGCAGAAAAACCGCTGAATGTTAAACACTCAATTATTTATATCTTGATAATAGTTACATGACCTTATTTCACCAATGTGTGTTTGAAAGAAAAATCCAAAACAATTTAAAAGGTTGGCTAATACACAGTATACTACCAACAAAAAAAATTCTTTATCTAAAACTTACTCTTTGTTTAAGACATCCGTAGGACAACCGTTTTTCAAAAGTATTTCAGCAATTACTTTTCTTCTCTGATGAGCTGAGCCTGCAACTGCATGTAGTGGAGTCTCTTTCAGACAAGGATGCACATAATTAGGATCTCGTTCGGCTAGTAGGCTCTTTAACTAAAATAAACCAACTTGTGTGCAAATCAAAAAACCAATTTTAATAAACCATATATTATCCGGAACTACAAAGCCCAATGATTATGACTGAAAAAATCTTTCTTACAGCAGGACTTCAACATCTAAATTTTTTTTATCTCTACAATTCGTCACGATGTTAATTTCAAGAAGCATTTTTTCACATGATTAAAAATTTACAAACCATACGAATATCACCAATTTGTGCTGCTGCATAAATTTTATAACCAGCATATTCATGAAGTATATCTTTCTTAACATCTTCATCAGTTATATATTCGATGGGTGCCTTTGCATTGCCAGTTTTACGTGTTGGATCAGCTCCACTAGCTGCTAGTAATCTCACCACCTTGGAATAATCGAAATTTGAATTTTTAACACTCAGACAATTTGAAAAACCAAAATTCGAAGGGTAACTATACAATATTTGCTATGTCTAGGATTTAAGCATAAACAAACCTCTAGACGTCCTTTGCTTGCAGATTCATGAAGCGGTGTGAAATTCCACAAATCTTCAGCCTGTGAATCAGCACCTGCTTCCAGCAATAAATTGACCACTTCCAAATGTCCAAATGAAGACGCATTATGGAGTGGTACTAAGCCTCTAAAATAAATATAAACTTTATTCAAAGATACGAATTTCTGAAGAAGAAATGGAGTACTATTTAATAATGATTAAATTATAATATCAAATCAAAATCTTAAAAAACTTCATAAGCAGCGTATTGTTAAGACGCACAAACAAGGAATTTTATATACTTCTTAAACATAGCTTACCCAATATCTACAGCCTGAACATCAGCACCTTTTTCTAGCAAGATTTTAACTGTTCTTACTCGATTATAACCGCAAGCCAAATGCAACGGTGTTGACTGTAAGAAATGCAATACCTCGGTAAATGTGAAATTAAATTTGACTTTGCAATAAAAAAACACCAATTTTAAACTAAAATTTCGCACAGATTTTTTTTTCGAGCAGATTCTATCAAATTTCAAAAAAACTTAGACTCTAAATTGTATTTTTTCAAGAAAATACCAAAGAAGTTTCTTCGCAGTTATTTCTTCATTAATAATCAGCTCTAACCTTTCTACCAGTAACTGCATGACAGTTAATACTAAAGGGCGTTAAACAACAGAGTAAGCTTTCCTCATCTCCATTCTTTGCTGCTTCTAATAACTCGTCTTTTCTATAGTCACCTGCAAGTAGTAGAAACAAGCCTGTTTCCAAATCTTTCCATCTTCATATTTCTTAAATTTACAAGTTTCTTCAACACAACTGCACAAATTACAACATCTAACCTGTAAAAACTGCTTTAGCATCGCCATCTGCTAAATCTTGCGGTGTCTTACCATCTGAATTTTCGCTCCGCGCTGAAGCACCATGCTGCAGCAAAAGGACGCAAACATCAGCCTGATAATGAATTTCGAAGTTGTTTATTTTCGTTATACCTTATCACAAAAAAAAAAAAAAAAAAACTGCACAATGTCCCAATTTTTTCCAGAAATAAAAAAAAAAGGGACTGGAGTGTAAAACTGATGAAATGTTGTATTATATTTAAAGCTTATTAATAAGAAAAAACATTGAACTTTAATAGAACACTACCTCATATATATGCAACATTAACTGATATTATACTTCAATATACTACCTGATATTAAACATCAATATATAACATTATATAAAATTACCTAATATCAGCTTCAATACATAATACTATCTGAATAGTTCTATTCCACAATTTATTAAGGAAACATACTTTTCCCCATATAGCTGCTTCATGAAGTGGTGTAAAGCCCCAATGATCGCTAACATTTGTGTCAGCACCACTTTCTAGCAAAATTTTCACCACTTCAATATGGCCAAATGAGGATGCATTATGTAATGGAACCAAACCACTATCATCAGCCTGGCTTATGTTTGCACCAGCTGCAAGTAACGCTCGAACACAGTCTACCTTCCCAAAACCGGCTGCATAATGTAACGGCGATGAGTTGCGGTTGTTCAGATCAGGCTGAGAAAATCAGGTTACAGAAAAGATGGAATATTCCAAAAGTTACATTATATTTAAAAATGTTTTTTATTATATTTAAATAGCGGAAAACAAAACAATAACTATCTTGCTATAAAAGATTTATTTTCCACTTGTTTGATTTTCATGCTGAGTTTACCAAACAAAATTGAAATGACCTGCTACCGCTAGCTAAGGAATAATGCATCTCTGGTAATTTTATGATTGCTTTTCCAGGCGCTCTATTATTTCATCCAAAAAAAAACCATATTTGATAAAACTACTTCATACATGCATCACTTTAAGCGCCGAACTATTTCTATTACTCCTATTACTGTAAGCATTTTAGGATCACTAGTACAAACAAGAACAACTAATGTACCTGATTTACTGTTTCAGGTTTAAGCAATTGTAGTAAGATTGACAAGTCACCTTGTTTGCATGATTCAAACAGTTTTAAGCATTTTTCTTCATGATGTCGATCTGGAACAGCTAAAGATCATAACGCGGAAAATATAGAAGGAAGTATTAGCAGAACTTCCAGCTTTAGATGCGTTTATTATTGATACGAACGGCTACTACTTATTCATGAATTTCTCAATCTGCCACGATCCAAACTTTTGGCGACCAGACACTTGGGTACCAATTTACCATATTCTAGCGATTTTTTTTTTGAAATTCTACACTAGAAAAACTTCTAAAATTTCACATTAGAAGAATGGTCTAGTCTGATATTCCATGCTTCACATTTCTTGATTAGTTAATTCCAAAAGAACTTGAACATATGATATTTAAGCTGCGCAATGTATATTTAATAACAAACAATGTTGTGGAAACAATGTTACCCAGGTAGTTATTGTTCTTCGTGACTGTCGGAACTTGTGTGTACTGACGCTGTTGCTCTGCTCGTTTGGGTGTCATACAATAAACTTTAATAATCCCTTTAAATCCATGATAAATCAAAATGCCTCAAAATGCTTGACGGGAAAACCAGGAAGCAGCCAAATGCTATTCACGACTCCTAGTCTTAAAAACGTGGCTGCGTTAAAAACAGCCGACTTCAAATGTATGTTTTCTTGGCAGAAGGTGTGGGTTGGGATTCAGTTTTTGATTGAAGTCAATTTCGGGACTGTATAATACTTGCACGCGAACTCAGAAGTCATAAGTGGCCAGTGAGAATTACTTTTCCGGATATATCAGGTTTCGGATCTACTAGTTTTATACAACTTATGCATTGCCACAATTAAGACTGGATTCGAATATATGTTTCGTATTTTGCCTACCATTTTATTCATTTTATATAAAGGTAATCATAATAAACACAATTAGAGATAAATTGAAGATCCCCACGTGGTAGTTCTCTCCTTCTAGTTTTAGCAGTATTAAACAAAAAAAGGTGTAAAAAAGAAATTTGAGTTTTGGAGTTAAACTCCAATTTCCGAAATCCCAGTAGAAAAGGAATACAGATGTGGGTATTCCCACCAGACTGGAATTTATCTGTGAAAATGTCCACTTTTTAAAACCCTCGACAATAATGCCACTCCTCGACGCTTCCTACCTCGCTTGCTTCCTTTTTGCTCCAATCTAGTTTTGTATCAATTCAGGTTTAATGCTACAGTTCCGTTCCCTAGGTTTCTATACGTAGATTTATTAATCGACCGAATGGCAGTGATTATAAGCTGGTTCATTTATTTTCAATACAATAATCTGTCATTGGATACTACTTTTATGAAGTGGAGATTTTTTATGTAGTTGAATTCAAATATAGTTGCAAATACATCTAAAGTAGATGAATCATTCCATTGTGAAAGTTTTCATTGTAGAAGTATCATTTATGCAAATTATGGACAATGAAAATCAATTATGCATTCAGTACAGTGCGATTTAATGTGCTTCTCAACCAATTAAAATGGTATAAAAAAATCATAGAAATCATCTGAAGATTTCAAGCAAACCGAGAAACTTACATCACATTTAATGATGAAACTTAAGTGGTCTAAAAATGATTGGGGCTCTCAATTTGATGCTGCCTCCGCTGTTGTGAAGTATTAGTATAAAGAGACTTTGTAGGAATGTCCATTATAGATCATGTAAAGTAGACTGTTTCCGTCTCCATTCACAATTGAATAAAGCATCATGCAAAATGACATAGCGAGAAACAGGGATTCGCTTAGAGAGATTTTAAAATCACTTTTTTCTAATTTTTTATGAGTTTGAATCATCAAACCAGTATTGTCAGTGGAATGAACAACGTTTCGTCTATTGACTGATCTGGTTAATTTTAAGGCCATTTCAGAAATATCGTATCTGCAACTGTCTGATAAATATTGGGGATCTGACCGAAGTCGAATCTAATCATTTCTGTTCTTTTCGAATGATATTACTAAAGGTCTATCAATTTTCCTTCAAAGAATACTCAAGTTGTTTCTTGCATGGGTCTTACGAATCAGTTCGTAAGACCTGTATCGTTTTATGATCCTTTCGTCAACGAATTCCTTATCAACCTAATCAACATGAAGACTGTAATTCCAAGAGAAATTGACTGAATCCAGATTAATAACCCTTAATTTCAATGACAAATCAGCCGTCCTTTCTGTCAGGTTAGAGACTCTTCACACAAGTTCCAAGCGTCTTTTTTAAGCCACTTCACAGCTGGCACATTTTAAATAACTTTAAAAGTGCAGCAAATTTCGACGCAAACACTCCCTGTGTCATTGTGAATACATCATAAAGGCTGTTGTAAAATCTGCAATCGTTCATTTGACGTATCATTTATATAAGAAAAATAGAATTATATGAAATAAAATGTTTATGAAACTACAGCAATATTGATGCATAAATAAATGTGAAGGGAAGGAAACGCGTGTAAGAAAATAACGGAATTAATGCAATGTGCATTCTTTTAAATTTAATCATACACTGAAATCCAAGTAAGTAAAATAACCTACAATAAAAAGTTAAAAATATAATTTATACGAGAAAACACCCAACCACAATAACTTTTATGCATAACAATCTGTCTCTACGAGCATGTTACTACAATAAACCCCATCTTATTAGTGTTTATATCTATTTTTCAACATATTGAAACCATCCTAAACAAAGAAAAACAATACATCATTACTTCTACGAGGTCTTATCACTGCCAAAGGTATGATTGAAAATTACTGATCAAAACTGTACACACTTTCTCGTGATTCTGCGACTATGCAAACCATATCCAATACTGTTATCAACACTAGCTGCGCGCATCAAAAAAACAAAAACATGTTACATTTCGTGACTTTTCTTTTTTATCGTTTCCTAAGCAACTGAATGTGAAACTTTCTTCTGTGTTAAACAGGAACAATTAACCTTCACAGTGAAAAATTCAAAACACTTCAGTTCAACTCCCTTATTCTTTTTTTAATAATGCTAGATGAACAATTTAAAAATTGAATTACTTAAGGGCATCGACTGTAGTTAAGCATCAACACCTCGGTTTCCCATTAAACACTAAATTTCAGGATTATCCTGAACATTCTCGCCCACTTCCGATTTTTGCAAATTCAGAAGTAAATAACTAAATGGATAAAATGCATATCTTAAATCTAAACAGGAAATTTATAAACAACTATAATGATAATATTTGGTGTTCGATTATCAGATAAATCATCAGATAAAATGTTACATGTGAAGAAAAAAACTGAAATTCTGCAGCTTGAGATTTGCTATGAAATCACAGAATATCACATTTGCTCTTTTTCTTCTTCTTTTGCTGTAGCGCTGCTTGCGTGGCTTTCTCAAATACTTCGCGGATACCCTAAACAAAAGCCTCCAAAAAAAATATTTTAAAATAAAAGTGTTCCATTTTCTTGATTAGCATTTCATTTTCATGATCAGCATTTCTACATCCGAGTTTGATTGCAAATTTATATATCTTAATAAATCTACTTCCAATTCTATCATTCCTGTTACTTTAACACAGTTTTCGCACGCATTCCTAATTGTTCGTTCTTCTAAAATTGGAACAAGTATCTTTCTGGTGAATACGTTTTTCAAAAGCTTCTAGACAATTTACAAACAAATGAATAACTAACAAATGCTTAACTGTTTGGTACAACAGAAAATTATTCCTTTGGAATAATAAATGTACAATAATTGTACACTTATTTTCCAAATTTTCCTTACTGCTGTTCTAATCATTAAAGAAAAATTAACCCACTCTAAGACTTTACTTATTGTATAGTGTGACCCAACTTTTTGATACCTTATTTTTAAATTGTTCAAAATTTGTAACTATTAAACAAATCCCCAATGTTATGTCATTATCCCCTTCTTCGAAGATGGCAAAAACTTCTTGAGTCCAACTAAACTTACATCCTTTGCTTTGGCAGAGCATTCCAAATATGCGAAAGCCCCTATCTGCTCAGCGATAGCACGTCCTTGCTCCGGTCTTACCGGTTCCTGTTTCATTTTTGCCAATTCACGAATAGTCTGCTGATCGTTTCGAAGGTCTTTCTTGTTACCAACCAAAATTATTGGAACATTTGGACAAAAATGTCGCACCTGAATTTATTAGTCAGAAAAAGAACAAAGCATAGCATTCTTATTTCTCGTTCCTATTACGAGTTGCATTATCAAAGAATAAAAAGCAATGAACTTAACCAGCAAAGTCCTAAAGTTCAGAAGAAACAAAATACTAGAAAATTAGGGAAGGGTTCATAGAAAACCAACTTATATTTATATTATAATGTGAAAGCTCGTGTTCCATGCAAGTGAAACGGATATTTATGAAAACCTGGAGCTGACCTCAGGAGTCCACTTTTCGGGAATATTTTCAAGCGAATCAGGCGAATCGATACTAAAGCACATTAGAATAACATCAGTATCCGGATAACTGAGTGGGCGTAATCGATCATAATCCTCTTGACCAGCCGTATCCCACAAAGCTAGTTCTACCTACAAGAAAAATAAATAGAAATAAGAAATATTGCACTTTCTTTTCCGCATCCATTATTTTTAAAGTCTTTTTATTAACAATTTAAGTGATGCCAAATATTTTTACTTACTGGTAAGTCTCCCAATAATAATTCAGCCGTGAAGTGAATATACAGCTTAAAATCATAACTTTATTCCGTTTAGAATAACAAAATTATAATAAGCTTATTTGACAAACACCTCAATATCAACACTGAAAAATTAAGAAAAAAAACGTCTTAATGGTTCGTTTTTTTCTCTCTAAGCAAAGCTGCCACACTGAGTTTAAAAAATCCACAAAATCAAGATGGGACTTTAGATTAGATACTAATAAGTTCCTATAGAAAATATTTATAATTAAGGATATAAGTTAATGATCATTTACAATCTATTATTACATTATGATGAAAACCTGAAGGAAAAACACCGAACAGATTACCTGCTTGCCATCAACTTCTATATCCGCAACATAATTTTCAAAAACCGTTGGCACATAGACATCAGGAAATTGATCTTTACTAAATACAATCAACAAGCATGTTTTGCCTGGAAAAAAATGCTTTTTCATAAAATCTTTAACTTTAAATGAAATGTCCTTCTCTTTATCAAAACCAAAATAATTAATAGTTTGAAGCAGGAAAGACAATATATGAAGGATTCGTCACTTTATCTTGCAGCTTTTTCATTGATAAAACGATTTCGTTATATATATATGTAGTATGGAAGAAAAAAATGAAGCAACAAATCACTAACCACAAGCACCATCACCAACAATAACCAATTTCTTCCGGATAGCTGCCATATGCGTAATGCCAGTGAGAGGCAAATAATATTCTTTCAAGAAATCCTATGAATCTTTGCTAGTATTCATTTCTAACATAAAAATCCAGAAATCGCAACAGTAGTACAGATACTTTTAACTCATTTCTTTCTTTTACTGAATTACCAAATATGATCTCTTT